CTTCGGTACATCACCCACATCATAGTCAGTGCACCCACCATATCCTTCTATTAACCTCTCCAAATCCTGCCACGTGGAAGGTTTATGCCAACTGGCTTCATCACCTGCACCACGTTGTTCTAACCTTCGACGCCATTGATCCTCATCCAACGGCTTACATTCAACGATCACAAGGCGAGCGGCAGCTGATGATGCCAAATGGATTAATTGATCGAGGTGCGACCTACGCGAGAGAGGAGAATCAATTATAACGCTGAGACCAAGATGGAGTTGAGTAGAGGCGATTTGCCAAACGACATGATACGACAAATCGTTGAGGAGTTCGGTAGGTACAGAAGGTGAATTCTGGAGAAAAAAAGTGCAGTCGCGAACGTCGTCTTTGTCTATGAGAGGGATTTTGAGAGAAGAAGCCAAGGAGCGAGCTAAAGTGGTTTTGCCTGTGCCGGGATGCCCTTTCATTGCTATTATCATCGGGACCATAAATTTCTCTCCTCCTGCTGTTTCTGCCATATCTTTTAATTTCTTCTGCCTCTTCTTCTTCTTTCTTCTTCCTTTTTTTTTTTTTTTTTGTGATTTTTGTGTATGGAAATGACAAATATGAGACACCTCATCAAGATTTATCCTTTATGGATATCCATGATAATAATCCTAATTTTGAGTAAAGGAAACCTATACAAAAAAAAAAAGATATATATATATATAATATATAATATATAATTAGAACAAGAATTGTCAATTGCCACGATACATATATTAGAACAGAATTGTCAATGCCACGTACATATTAATTGTTTTTGGCTAATAATTAAATATATCCTAGATTTTTACATAATTTTCAACTACGCCCTATTTTATTTTATCAAATTGAAATCAATGTCGTTATCAGATTATTTATAATGAAAACAATTTTTTAACAACAATTGATAATGCCATTGCAACCAATTTTTTATAACACCAAATGGACTTATTTGCCCTTCCTAATTTAAATATAACATTTTTTTTTTCTCTCAAATCCTATCTTCTCTCTTTTTCCCTTTATAATTTTCCCATTATAGAATCACTTTAAATACGAAATCTTATTCATTTAATTGATTGTCAGCCAAATATTTTATGCAAATACCATATTTCCATTCCAATTCCTATAATTATATTCATCTTCTCCATCTAATCATTATCATCATTAAAAAGGCATTGTTGAAGATGGAAACTCTCTTCATCAACCAGGTGAAATTTAACAAGACTAATTTTTGTAAACACTGTTGATTTAAAATTTACTTCTTGCTAATTGCAAGCAATGAAATTTTCCTGAATATAATTAATTTGTTTTGTTTTGGCCATTACCTACCACTAATATATGCAGATTCTTGCTCAAGAAAGTTTATTGTGTTTGTTGAATCAATGCTGGCAAGGTATATGTTAAAATTCTCCAGTGAAAGTATTTTTTTATACCATTTGATAGCGAAGTAATTTAATTTACACGATTTGAATTTTTATCTTATTTTATTAATTCATTACTGTTTATTATTAATTGGCATTACAATACTATCAATTCACTTATTTAGGGTATTAGTTTATATTTTGGGTTAGTGTTAGATATTTGTTTAATAATAAGGGCAAGTAAGTCCATTTGATGTTATAAAAAATCATTGTTCTGCATTAACACAACGTGCTCTGAAAATAACAGTACCCTTATTTTATTTAACAATTCAAATTTTTCGGAGAGTGTCCTTTTGTTACGAAGCATACACTCCAATTATTACTGAGAAAACTCATTCTTGATTAATTTGATAGAGATTGTTAATTTATGATGAGTGCAAAAGATAAGAAGAAAGATGATTGAAAACTTGAATAATAAAATAATAAAAAATAAATAAATGAAGCGATGCTATTTTTTATTGATTCTATTTGATTTTCTAACTAAAATTTGTTTTTTTAGTTATTTCGCTTCAGCATAATTTTTTATTTTTTATAAATTAAACTGTAATATTTCAATTTGGTTCAATTGAATTATTCATGGTTATTCAAGTCAATTTAGTTATTATATTCATAACATTTAATTATTTCAATTCACATTAGTTTGATTTGGTTGAACCGAATGCTCAATCCTACACTAATTTACTAATATTAGGTCATTGATGTGTATTTGCCATTTATAGGCACTAGTGCATGCTCTGGATTCAGTATCACCAATATAGCCTTCAATAAGTTGGGATTACCCAGAAACATGTTGAACTTATTTTTGGTCAATTTGACAGAGATTGTTCATTTTATTGTAGTTAATGCAAAATATGAAAAAAGAAAAATGGTCGAAAAACTTGAAATGAGCCATGCATGTAATTCCCAAGAAGATAAGGCAAAACAATATTATATTCATTTAAAATAATAAACGAAGAGATACCAAAAACCAAAATGTTTACTAATCAATAGCTATATAAAATTAAAAATAAAATATCCACAATACCAAAATGTACACTATTTTTTTTTTTCGAATTATATTTAGCCTCAAAATTTCATTAAATGCATATTAATAATATGCTCTTAGAACTAAGATTAATTAAGTGTGTGCGGATAATAAGTAATGTTGCTAAATTATTCACTTTCAAATATTTATATATATATAATCAAGAAACTAATGATATATAATGCACAGTTGAAGAAGATCAAGGATTATAAAAATGGCCACCACAGTGACACTTCCAACCCAGTGGCTTATAATTGGAGTACCTGTTACCTGAAGGATACGTGTCAAATAACTTGAGATCATTTTTGGTCAAATGACTCGGTTTGACTCGGTGGTGACTCGGTATAGAAGGCACTTGAACTGCCATACATGGATGGCATCCATTGCACTTGTTGTGGCAACTCGGTGGCGTTGAACCCAATCTTGTTTTCTCCTCAAACAATAAACTCTACACAAAAATAATAAAATAACCATTACCCATATGAGCAAACTAATTAAAGATACTAGATTTAAATTAATTAGGGCTTACCCGATGTTGATAATTAAGGGAAGAGAATGGGGAAAAAAGGAGAAGAAGAAGAAGAAGAAAGAAACACAATGCTGCAAAAACTATAAGATATTGTTGATGGAAACTCATGACTCATGAAAATAAAGATTTCATGTCACCATTATACATATACAGAGAGCTTAAGAAATTATAGAAATATGAAAACCCAGGTGCCAATGCTTCTTCCTAAACTAAACTCTTTCTGCTAGAAGGGTTTGGTTGCTTTTAATGGATCTAAGAGGCAGTGACAGACAGTGCATAAATGGTGAGGTAAGTGTACTATAAAGTGGTGGTGGCCTGGTGGTGGTGGATGTTCAAGCTGCTTAGCTACTATTAGAGAGAGAGAGAGAGAGAGAGAGGGTGGCAGTGGCAGAAAAGTGAAAAGAACGTTACAGGAGAGGAAAAACAAATTGGGAAAATCCAACTCTAAAGTGAATAATAAATACTAATAATTAAGTTTTAGCTTGATTATTATTCTCCAATTTTCCTTAAGAGGTGGGTATTTCCTATTTTGATTTTTTTTTCTTTTTTTACATTTACTAATGTAATCAAAATTTGTACTATTGATTTAATAGAACTTATACGATCAAACATTAAAAATATGTCCATAGTACATCTTGTAGCTCATTTAACCTTAGCTGAATACAGTTGATGACAGAACTTGCTCTTTATGTTATTTATTATGGTATGATTTTTAGAATTAAATCATAAATAGATTCTTATTTATTATGTTGAATTGGAAAACAACCTAATTAAGGAGTGAATGGTACCTAAGCGGAGACTTCTCTGTCCTATTTATATTTTCGGCACACCTGATAGAAATTTTTTTTTTATTTAAACACCTGATTATAAACTCTTTTTATTAAAATATTAAAATAAAAAATTTAAAAAACTGAAACATTAAATTTATAATTAACACGAACATACACCAAATTTATTACAGCGTCAAAGTCAGAAACTCGCAGGTACAATAAATTTTTTTTTAAGAAAAGGAAGTCATGTAGCATAATTGTTTATTTATTATCCATTTGTAGTTTGTACTGTTGCTGTAATGTTTAAAGCTGTGTGGCAGTAGCTGCATAGAAAGTGAAAGGATTGGGAATATATAAAAAGATTAAATAGAAACATTTATTAAAGACAGACTCACTTTCAGACTTTCAGTTTGACTGTGATTGATATTGAATAATTCGCCTGAAAGGAATATTATTTTTCTCATCAATAATATTTGTCCCATCTCAGTCTTTATTTCTTCATTTAACCTATGTTTCATTATTTACATTTTTAATTTATAATATTACCTTATACTTCTTGGCTAAACTTAAATTTTATAGTTTTTAATTTTTTATAAAAATTAAAAATTAATAATAAATCTCCTCAATTTTTTTTTTAAAAATTAATATCTGGTTGAAATAAAATAATTAATATTATTTAACTTTACCAAAGTTCAATTTTTATAATAAAATAAAATTTTACCAATAATATTAGTGTTGAAATAATTCTGAAAATAAAATATTTGTTGTCCTTTTCCCCTCCTTTAACAGCATTCTTGTGCAGATTAAAAGAATGGATCTAAAACTGTGGCAGAAAGAATACATAGACACCATATGGCTATGGCTGTGTCTCTGAACTCATGCCTAGAGATACATCAAATGCTGTAGATTTATTCCCATATCTACAAATTCATTGGAACCCAGTGGGAAAAACTATTTACCCAATCAAAAAGTTAAAAGAAAAATACTATTTACTGATTATTAAATATTTAAAATAATCGAGGTAAACCAAGTACATGAATATTAAGTGCATTTATTGCATTGTAATACTCTTTTCTGTTCTATTTTATTATTCTATTTTTTAATGTCTTAAAATATTTATAAGATTTCTAAATTTATTCTCCTCAAATATTCTTTTTTTTAACTCGATCTTTCATCATCTGGCTTGAAACTAACAGACATAGGTATATACACACTACTATTTAACTTCACCAAAGTTCCAACTCTTTTATATAATAAACATACAAATTTACCCAATTTAGATATTATGTCGCTTGAAATAATTCTGAAACATAATAATAAATCTTGTTGTCCTTTCCCCCTTCCTATTAACCCAGCATCATCTTGTGCCAGATTAAAAGAACTGGATCTAAAACCCTGGGCTGGCCAGAAGAACTACATCAGACGACCACTAATGGCATCATGCGTGTGTCTCTGAAACTCAGTTGCCTAGATCGACCTACATCCAAACTGCTGTAGATCTTTATTTCCCATCACTCTTACAACATTCCATCTGAACCCAGATGGGAAACAACTTAAACCTCCTCTACCCAATCAAAAAGTGCTTTAACAAAGAAAACACAATACCATATTTAGCCGCCTGTATTACTTTACAATAATTTAACAGGTAAATCGACGTGCGACCTCGCGCTACAACCCAAGCTACCATGAATATTTAACGTGGCATTTCATTGCATGGTGTAATACTCTTTTCTGTCTCTATTTTATTATTTCTATTTCTTTTCATCACTGTTCTTAAAACTATTGTATAAGATTCTCCTACTAAAATCCCGACGTTATATATTTAAATATTATTTTTTCTCATATAAATAATTTCTATATAATTGCTTCCATTAACGTAATGCAAGCAATATTATTCACTTCAATACTTTTACATGGATGTAGTTAAACATTGCGATAAGAAAGAGCAACAATAATCTCTTTCACTTAATGACAAACATGACCACCTTAAATTTAAATAATTATTTTTTCTATAATAATTTTTATAATTGCTCATTAAATGAAGAATTTTATTAATATTTTAATGAGTTAAATGATAAGAAAGAGCAAAATAATTTTTATTAATGACAAAATGACTAACAGTTATCTTACAGACTATACAGTACATTTGAATATAAGATGTTTATACATTATAGAAAGTTAGAAACATAATATATCATGTAATCTATATTGGGTATTACCAGTAATTAATAGAAAACATTATTCAAGTTTATTAAACAAAAAGGCAACCGAAGTACACGTGTTATGATTAGATCTTTCCATGCATGTGGAAATGGATACATTGAATGATGATGATGATGAAGATGGTGGAGGGCTCTATCTACAGAGACAACCACTGGTCCTTTTTAGTGTAATATACTGTTACTAAATGCTGGACATGCAAATTTTTACATCGACAGGTGAAATGGGTAACTTGAAATTTGTAATTAGAAGAACAACTATACTCTGTTTCCAAGCAGATGAAACTCAAGTTTGTTTAGATTTTTTTTTTCCTTTTCTTTTATTTATTTACCTTTTACCTTTTCTACGTTTCCTGATTTGTTACACAGTGATTTTTTCAGATTGACAGTGATTTTGCTTATGTACACTCTCATCTCTATAAATAGCAGAGAGAGACAAAGACAATGATAGTGATTTATCCGATGTAAAAACACCTTTTAACAGTGAACAAAGAAAGAAAAAGAAAGCTCTTTAAACAGGTAAAATTTTTGAGGTTAAGCTTTTAAAGCTGAAACGCCAAAAACAGTAAAAACGGTTCTTTTTTGTTGACTTCTCTAATCAATCACTGCATTTCCCATCTGTGATAATTTGGTCAGCTGGTAGTACGGATAATTCAGCCTTATGGTTCTTTCATAGGTCTGATATTTGTTTTTTCTACCCGTTGTTGTGAAGTGGACTTTATTGGCTTGTAAATTTATTTTTTGGTATTTGGAAAATTCGATGGGTTAGAAGTAAAGGCTGTGGCATACATGTCACGAGTACTTCATCAGATCGATGACAATCTGTGAGGCGTAAAAAACTAATTAGATCAAATTTTACGCCCCTAACTCTTCTTCAGCCAGACTTAGACAAAATAGCAGAGCAAGTATAAGTATTAATAACACAGTAAAAATGTGTTTTTTGTCATTAATATAGTTGCTCGTGGTAATTGTGGCTCTCGGGAGAATCGATGATAATAAATTACAAGACTTAAAAAAACAAATTAGGTCAAACGTGATCTGCATAAGTATATGCTTCAAAATTGCAGCATTATAATAATATGTTAATGTCATAGTATCTCTATAAATAAATAAATGTAATGTAAATGTAAAAACATAGTAAATTTTATATTCAGAAATAGATTGTTAACAAAACTAAAAATTTTCCATATGCGACATTCGTTTCAATGCATTGATTTATCTACACTTAATATATAACTTCGTCGGTATATCAAATCAATCACTTAAAATTTTTTAAAAAGCAAATGAAAGTAAACAATTTATTTGAAGAAAAAGGATAAATTAGTAAAATAATTTATTAATTTTTTAAATGGTAAGTAATTATTGAGTCATATATTCAAATCATATATCACCTTAATAAATTATATTTTTAACAAGCAAATGAAAGTACACAAATTTATCTCTGACAGCAAAAAGGATAAACTTAAGTAAAATAATCATTTATTATACTTTCTTTACACATGGTAAAGTAATGTACTTGAAGTCACTATAGTAGAATATAATAATATATACAATTACGCATAACTATATCACAGTAGGCAGTAATCATACTTTATTAACGTAATAGACACAATACTTCTTATATTTATTAAGTATAGACAAATATTTTCCTGAATTATTTTAGGGTGGGACCTTGGGCGTTGTGATAAGTAGGATCGGATGGTACAAAAAGTCACATGCGATGGAGAATTTCACGGTGATGATGCAGTGACTGCCGCAACGCAACCAATAACTGTATAGTCCTAGCTAGTGTAGTGATAAACGGCGGACCCCACATAGTCTAATCCCTAATTATGTACACGTCACATGGCAAGCTGATTTGTAGTGTCAGCGTAAGAGTTTGAGGTGACGTAACTCTTACTTTTATTATTAGTGCATATATATTCTCTTCCCGACAAAATATCCTTTGCTCAATGCATATCCTTTTTATCTCTTCTATAATTATATCCCATCATCTATATGTTTGTAAGTTGTAATTTTGCTTTTCTTAAAAAATATATATATATATTTTTGCTCTTTCTTTATACAAAGCATATATATATACTCTACAATCAGTATATTATATGAAAAATATACTTGTGTCTCCTGTTTGTAAGCTGCCCATACTACTTAATGATAAATGGTGCTAAATCGCAGAAGAAACTAGTCAGATAGACCACTTTAAGACATGCTACAGATCACATAATTAAATAAAACCGATTCACGATTAGTCTGAGATTAAGGTCTACACGATAAAAACATCTCTTAATAATTATCCGATTCCACTTGTATATATATATATATATATATAAAATAACTTTGCTCCTGTTTGTAAGTGCAATACACTAATGATAAATGGTGCTAAATGCAGAAGAAATAGATCAAAGACCACTTTAAGACATGTACAGATAAATAATTAATAAAACCGATTCCAATTAGTTTGGAATTAAGGTTCACGATAAAAAAATTTTATATATCCGATTCCACTTGGTTGTTTTCAACTTTTATCGAACAAATTGAGTTCTACAAGCTTTTGATTGAAATGAAGTGAAAGAAACAAAATATAGAAACAGGTCAACTATCAAACATCGACGGCTCTAAATGGAATCCCGTACCTGTTCCGCATTCAAAGCTAATCAAATATTCATCCAGAATTTAAACATTTCAATCGGTGTAATTCTTCGTCCAGAATCAGAGGTGGTATATTCCATGTTCCAAGAGGATGTCCAGATATCTTCCCACCTGATTTTCAGGTTAAACGAACATCAGATCTTTTTATGATGCAAACTTGAGTAGAGGGAGTTTTACCTTCTTTAGTGGCTTCCTCGCATCGCCTCTGGTAACTCGAGGACAGTTGGGGCTCCAAAGTTTTCAGCAAAGAATCATACTTCTCTTCAGCCTCGGCGATGCACTTTGCCTGAGGAAGGAAAAACAGTTTGCAAAGAAGATTACTAGGTAATTGACTTCAAGAATCATTACGGATTCACAAGCAGACATGTTCAGTTTTATCTGCAAAAGTTAGACTTTAGATAGAGATTTTGACTTTCGATTTGCCTTTACTTCAGGCTCAGCCTTTCTTGATATAAATATTTTTTATCTTTTTTTATATACTAGAATTAAAATGACCTATAAAATGGAAGGTAGCTCAATACTTTACAATAACACCCGCCCCTCCCCCCCAAAAAAAAAATTGAAAAAAAAAAAAAAAAAAACCCCCATAGATTCAAATACCCAAGACCTCCCCAAAGGAAATCTCAAATCCCCGAACCACTTGTATAAAAAAAAAATGAAAAAAAAAAAAAAAAAACCCCCCTAAGATTCAAATACAAGACCTCCCAAAGGAAATCTCAAATCCGAACCACTTTATATTGTCTTTTACAGATAACTCACTGTTCAAGTTGTCTTTCTTTCAGAGGCAACAAAAACTATGATTCATATGAATTAGGAAAACCAGACACCAATCATTCATCCACCCTTAGTGTCAGGCAATTAAGCGCTATTGGCATGCTTTTGATACTGCCTACGCCACTTTTATTCCAACAAAGTTTAGGCATACAAGCTACAGCCTGTCCAGTTATTATTTGCCTCAATATAAACTTACACAACGCTCCCTCTCTTGCTAAGTAAAGACAGATAAGACAAGGCTAAACTGCTTTAATTACTCACCAACCGAACTGGGGCTTTTGAAGCTCCATATATTCTGACAAACATGCGCAAAATATTAAAATTATTCTCCAGCACGTCATCCTACACGAGTTATTACGGTTCTTAGCAATGAGATATAAGCAGGTAAAATGGAATATAATTCATATATAAAATGCACTCACCTCATAGTCAAACCTACACGCATTAATGTGGACTCAGCATTTCATTGGACCAATCATTGTTGAAGTGAAAAATGTAACATTCAAAACTGAAATTATTAGCTATTCCAATAAAAATGTAAAAAATTTAAAAAAAAAAAAAAATTGACTGAAGATATGTACTAGCTTAACGAGGATTAGTTTACCACTCAAGCAGCCTTACTTAGAGTGATATCACAAGAACATGCAGGCATAGATAGGTTTCTGAAACTTAAGCAGAGGCTTCTAGAATTTGCAATGGCATACAAATATAATGCCAATGTATTTTTCAATAGAGGGGAAAGACTTGTACATTTTAATATCCATTTCTTTGACAAAAATTTCTTCATCATAATATGGTAAAAAAGCAACTCAAATTTTCTATTGGGACTGAGAATAAATTGCTTAAACAACATAAAAGAAAAGCACTTACAGGTCATCAGATACTTCCACTAGAAATTCTGAGATGGACAGAAATTCCATATGCAAGTCATTCACCTTCAGAACAGCTTCAAGGAAAATGAGGGAAGTACTAACAGCATTGGTGCATATATTACCAAAATTTGTAGTAAAAGATAGGCTGTCAAATAAAATTATTTTATTGATTTTACAAGACACAGGAACAATGACTCTGATGTCAATGAGTAAAAATTTGACATAATCTAACACTGTAGCATTTTTCTTTACTGGATATAACACAATAACATCAACCAAGTTCTCTCAAACTACATCCAGGGAAGAAGCAATAATTTAGCTCATGAAAAAAGTAATAGAAATGACTAGCTAGAATTTATACCTTTTCTCTTCTCAACTGGTACAGAAGAAGATTCAGTACTCGATAATCAAAGGACTTCAAATGTATAGCCTTCATTACATCTTCAACAGAGACCTGAGAAACCAATTTGATATAAAAAATTTGGCAGAAACAACTTAATGAAACCTATATCTGACAGCTAGCCCAATCCATAAAAATTTCAGATTAACTGCTAAACAAATTTAGTACTGTTTGCTTCATGTTGTGGAACTCAAGAATACATATGAAATAGAATTGAACAGAAAGGGATCTACTTATGAGACATGTTCAATATTCTTCATCCTTTTGTCAGAGAGAGAGAGGAGCTTTGTGACCAAATTATTGGATTGTAACCATACAATTTATTCAAGGGTCAAGTGAACCAGAAAATAATATGCAACAAACGATGATAAACGACATGCCTGTAAGGCTTCTTCAAGTTATCTGGTGAATAGCAATAGTGAACGAATGTCGGTTGGTTGTATTCTTTCTACATTACAGCTTTTGAAACAATAATAAGTACTAAATAATGAAACAATGGATGATACTGGGAGAAAAAAACACAATACTCATACTCCAACTCATTTCATGGATGCTTTACAAATCATCAGTCAGCAATTTTCATGCAGTTTCCAGAATTATGCTTATATATAATTTGCTATCAAGTTAGTTAAGTGGCTTTCTGACTTCTGCTGTCAAGGAATGTCTGGTACTTATTTTATTAGCTGTTGGAGCTTGTTACTTCACCAAGATAGACTCATAAATGATATGGCAACATATTTTCTGACAATATTTTAAACAATATTCATTTTCCAACTTATTTATGGAAGCTTTACAAAACTTCAATCAGCAATTTTCATGCAGCTTTCAGAAATCTGCTTATAGATAATTTGATATCAAGATAACTGATTTCTTAATTATATTTTGCAATTTCCACGTGGCTTTCTAATTTCTGCTTTCAAGGATTGATGCCTGGTTCCCATTTTACTGGCTCTGGGAGCTTGTTACTTCACCAAGCTAGACTCATAACTGATTTGGCAACAGGTTTTCTGAACAACGTCTTGTAAACTATACCAAACTTGCTAGACTGACTAGGTTAGCATATCCGGTCACTTATAAAACCCCTTTTTGTTCGAAGTGGAGTTGAACATGATATTTGAACCTCAAAAATAGGCAGACACGCCATCAGACCTCCTCTATTTCGAGATATATCTGTACTAGTTATACATATCCTTTGAACTATTGTTCGAAGACTCTAAAACATAAACATTGTAAAAATGTGACAAAGCACTTTAATTTTCACTTAGTGACATGAACTTATCCAGTAAATGAATGCAAAGTATCAAGTTGTAATCTTAAGAAATCCTCTTCTTAGCAGCAGTGTGTGCGTATAGTTGCATGTATAACGGTAAAAGAACATAATGTGACATCAATAAAACACTACACAATTGTATATGCTAATAAGAAATTTCAAACACTTCCTTTTCTGGATATAGAAAGAAAATTTTCTATGGAACTTTTCATTTTGTGATTCAAGTATTTGATTTAATTGATAATATGCTGTGAGAGAATTAAATTTAGAAAACTCAAAAATAGGCAGACACGCCATCAGACCTCCTCTATTTCGAGATATATCTGTACTAGTTATACATATCCTTTGAACTATTGTTCGAAGACTCTAAAACATAAACATTGTAAAAATGTGACAAAGCACTTTAATTTTCACTTAGTGACATGAACTTATCCAGTAAATGAATGCAAAGTATCAAGTTGTAATCTTAAGAAATCCTCTTCTTAGCAGCAGTGTGTGCGTATAGTTGCATGTATAACGGTAAAAGAACATAATGTGACATCAATAAAACACTACACAATTGTATATGCTAATAAGAAATTTCAAACACTTCCTTTTCTGGATATAGAAAGAAAATTTTCTATGGAACTTTTCATTTTGTGATTCAAGTATTTGATTTAATTGATAATATGCTGTGAGAGAATTAAATTTAGAAAACTCAAATAAAATTACTAGTTATCCATGTGGTTGAACCCCAATTGACAATAGCCTTTGCTCCTACCCCTTCTTTGGTTTCATAGTTGGGAAACAGTTCCTCATAAAACACATAAATATGCAGCAGCTGGAACAGTGGAACTATAGTATCTCATTCGTGGTCATAACCTAGCTGCTAAAGTTGATTCCAGATTTTATTAAAATTTATGCACTTCGTTTGGATGTTGTACCACATCACACTGCATTGTGTTACAAACTCAAATTTCATATTCGCTGATCCATTCAATGACATGTTATTCATGGAGGATTGGTCTAGACCATTATTCATGTTATTCTGAATTCTATATTATATTATAACTAATGTCTTTCTTGATTCTTGAAAGTACATGAAAGATGTCATTTAGCTATTGCTTTAGCAAGTAATAATGATTGATGAAAACAATTGAGGAAAAGGAAAAAAAAAACGCCAACATGCCTGGACATGGTTAGTTTAAGCAAAATGAAATTTGTTGATTTCCCTACCTCCTTTTGGTTTGCGAGTGCAGAACAAAGCTTTCTTTCCAAAGCCCAATACTCTTCACCACATTTGAATTCTTCCATAATCCTTAATCAATCATGAAAAAACCAAACAAAAGAGCCTGATTTCAGACTTTCAAAAGTTTCCTCCTTAACCTAGAAGGACAGTAAAAATGGAAAACTGTACCTATCTGTCAGAAGGCCATGACATTCAAGTCGATGCACAAGTGGCCTGAATGGATCAGTTTTGAAAACATCCATATACTTAGCCATGCAGTTTTCATTTCCTTCTTGCATCTGAATGGAATAATTAGCCAAGTAAAAATCAATGAAGCAGTCACCAGTATAAGCAGTGTCTGGAAAATTATCAGCATTACAACCTCATGTACTCGTTCCAGAACAACTTTGTTGGTTGCCAAATTCACTATCTTTTCATTCAAACTATCCATCTGCAATAAGAAAACAATAATTGTTAGGAAAAGGAAAAGGAGCAACCATCACAGCCATGAGAATAAAATAGAAAATTCATGCTTCTATGCTGCATCACACCCTTACACTAATATTTAGCCAGGCTTGCAACTCTTTACTGGAAAATGCATGGCTTACTTCCATGCATCTTTGACAAACAGAGCAAGACGAAAAGAGGAAAGAAGGAAAGGACTACCTTTCTAGCTGAACAACAGAACAGAAAGAATAAAAGCCCGAAGGTAGAATCTTCTCAGAGCGTAAAAAAATAATAATAATTCATTGTGGAAGCGTGTAAAAATTCTTACAGGGCCCTAACATAAATTTTATTATAATTGTCTCAAGAAGTTACACCAGCAGTTTGACAAAAAAGATCAAAATATATGTGTATTTCTTTTATTTAAAAAAAGACACAAAGATATATAGTTCTCAAATTAGTCACCTGATAAATGTAACCTTCTGTGAACGAGAGCACAGGTAAATATTTGAATACTGATTGTGGTGAGTTTATGTCCATTCCATGAAACATAAAATAAGACCTGCACTGTTAGTTTGACAAGCAAGATTAAATCAATGGTCAGAACTGTTAAAATTTGTCATCACAAAATACATGTGTTTTTCTGCAATTACAAGTTTATTTGCTACATCTATGAAAGATGTACAGAAAACCGAGAAGCAACTAATGCATAATGATGCGGAGAACAGAATGGTTCAAGAAAGGTGTTCAAACTTCAAACATCGAAGCTGCATGTATAAATCTTACTAGAATGAAGTAGAAGAATTTTGCACTCATAGGCTTAGCTTAGAAGCAAGTTCTCATCTAAACTGCATATAGATCCAAGTTTGATTCCTCCCTTATTCTAACAGTAGAAGGAAAAAACGTAAGGGGAAAGAATTTTTATGGTGGGGAAAGCCTTACATCCTGTGACAATTTAATCTAATGCATCCCCCAATTTGTCTCACACTGCATTTTACACATAAATTCAAGGTATATTTTAATATTTTCATAAAAAGAATTGATGAGTGTCTCCATTCATTGAGATTTTAGTTTGTCATTATTTTGAGCAACAATTATTTGAAACAAAGAGTCACACCCTAACTGATAATGAGTTCTATCGATTTTTCAAGGCTTGACTAATTTCCTCCCTTCCCTTTTCCTATTATTTGATGAATGATGCACCTTACCTGTTTTCAACTTATGTAAATCAAAATGCATAATATCATCCTATAAAGTTCCATCCAAACAAACACCATTCAAGTGAAATCATCTTACTGAATAAATTAGCACATTGAAATGTAGTCTAATGTATTCTTTTTAAAAATTTTCTGAAAACATATGTCCTTTAGGACCAATAACAAATGCAAGATTGTTTTGTAATTTTCATTTATAAATAGTTCCATAATATTCTTACTCGAAGAAGACAGAAAATACATGTATAACAACTTAGTATCTAATACATTCATTTGCTTCCCTATACTACTGAACTTTAAAAAGAAATGAACAAAGAGACTATTAAATTCATTGTTCCCTTTTAGAGAAACTTCAAGGATAAAATAACTCACAAAATCCTCAAGGGTAGAATTTGCCCGTTGCATCGCATCCAAGACAACAGCAGCTATATCTTCAAAATTCTTTTGCCTCAATTTATTGTCTTTTCTATCACTAACAGGTGATGAAATATTTGCAGCATAACTTTCGTGATAGCCTATCAGAAAATTAAACTTAAAATACATATATTATCATTCTGAATTTTATGAATACCTATGCCAATGGCTGGCAATTAAGAAAATATATATAAGCAAAAAAATTCAAAAGAAAAAAAAAATTGTCACAAGAATGTGAAGTGAACATTGCCTTCCATTTGCACAGGAGCTTTTCGATTAAACAAAAGCGAGGCCTCGTCGAGAAAAGAAGTTGAAATCTGCAAATAGAATTAGAACTTACAAATTTAAAATTGAAAGAGCGTAATCGACGGAATTCCTATTCGACTAACCTTGGGCAAGTGTTCAAGAGTTAAACTGCACTTATCGTTCAAGTCGAGATCGCCGCATGGATTTATCTAAAGCGCGCATTCAAGAGAGAAGATATTCAGTGTTAGTTAAAGATAAAAATGGATGAAATCTAGAGAGTGATTAAGGAGAGGGGAAATGGATACATACCAAGAGGAGAATTAGATTAGCGAGGAAACGGTTAGAATCGTTATTAGAAGAAGAAACGATCCCGTGAGACTGCATGAACGTTAACATCCTTTGAACCTCTTCTAGCTTCCTTAACTCTTCCATGGTTGCTCTGTTTCCTGGAATTGAAATTCTTTTCAAAAAACAGGGATAAACTGAAATGGAACCGTGTAACTGTGACGCCGGACACTGAGACGATGCCGTTTTCCAGATTATTTAGGGGCTCTTTGATATAAATTATAATGTTGTTGTGGCCAAATAAATACATATTTCTACCCTTTGTACTTCTGTGAAAATCTGCGTAATCCTCAATTTTCAAAATGCCTTTATACATGCCTCTACTTTTATTAAACACCAGGATACTGAAACAAGAATACAATTACATCCTCTAGCTGGATAACCAAAATTTGTATTTACAAGTATTCAGGGGCACTTTCGAATTTAGAGAGTCCAAAATAAATTTGTTTAAAAGTTAGGGGAACCAAAATGAAGAAAAAAATTTTTTTATACTAATTTATGAAGCAAATTTTTAAAAAATTCTGGAGTTTGGAGGCCCGAGCTCTCCCAGTCCTTCGCTCTACGCTCCTCTAAATATTCAAATTACATTTAGTATTTTATCTTTGATCGTAGTGTAATTCTAATTTTAATTTGCATATGCCGTGGTTGACGGTACCCTACCTTTTTTTTTCTTCTATTATAAAAAAGTTACATATTTTTATATTTAAAAATAATTTTATTGATTAATTATTCTAATTCATCTAAGATTATAAAAATTGTATCATTTTATTAATTAATATATTTATTTTTTGATAAATTAAAAGATTCATAAAAGACAATAATAATAATAAGTAAAACTTTGAAAATATATAACTAACTTAACGAATTAGGTTTGATTATATGATAAATGAAATAATATGTACCATTTACTCTTTCTGTTTAATTTTTTTCTATAGTCTTTGACTATTATAATAAAAACTATTAATCCAACTTTAGAAATTTAAAAATGAAAAAAGCACTTTACCTTAATAAATTAAAATAAATAAATTCACCTTCTTAACTAAACTAAAAACAATATTAAGTATTGCTTTTGTAAATTGAAATAATATAGTTTACTCAAACCATAAAATTACCTGAATGGAAAAAAATTTTAAAAAGAAATTTATATGATAAATATAGTAGATGGAAATACTCATATATATATATGGTACTCAAAAAGGGAATTAAAATTTAGAAAAAAATTAAAGGATAATTAAATTATAAAATAACAAAATATTAGATCAATTTATAGCATGGTTATTAATTATTGAAAAAAATAATTATTATTTTATTAGTAATGTAAAGATTTATTATTCGGATTATTAATTATTGAAAAAAAAAGGAAACCAAAGAGTTATTTATTAATGAAATAAAATTATTATATGGTTATTAATTATTGAATAAAAAAATGAAAATGGTATAATTTAAATTTTCAAATTAAATAATTGAATAAAAAACATTAAAATTTTAATAAATAATAAAATTTCTCATCATATAGTATCATGTCACATAAGATAGATATAGCTAGATGGATGGATAGATAGATAAATAATTTGTATTATTATAAAAAATATTTTATTATTATGTTATAGTTTAATGAAGTTTTTATTAATGTCCCTGAAAATAGGGTTGTCCTAAGAGACCGATGAGTCGTTTATTTCACATGCTCATGCGTACATGCTATAATGCATTTAGCCTTAAGTCAACATCTTTACGGAGTAAAACTTTACATGTTAATATAAATCATTCAATTAGTTCATTTTAGCTATTCAACCAATCTTTTTCTACCCATAAACAAGATCAACATCATTAAGTTTCTTGAAGAAAGATGGCAAATCCCTTTAACTTAGAGTCCACAGCCACAGCTTGCCATATAGTAGCTATGCCTTATCCAAGCAGAGGCCATATAAATCCAATGATGAATCTCTGCAAACTCTTAGTTTCAAGAAACCTTAATCTTCTCATCACCTTCGTTGTTACTGAAGAGTGGCACGGCTATATTAGCTCTGACCCAAAGCCTGAAACAATTCGTTTTGCCACAGTACATAATGTTATCCCATCTGAGCATCTGAAGGCTGTTGATATCACTGCGTTTTATGAAGCTGTTATGAGAACAATGGAAGCTCCTTTTGAGCTGCTACTCGATCGGCTTGACCCACCTGTTACTGCTATGATTGGTGATATTGAATTAGGTTGGGCAATTGACTTGGGGAATCGGAGGAATATTCCGGTGGCTGCTTTTTGGACTATGTCGGCCACATTTTTTTCCATGTTGTGTCATTTTCATCTGTGCCCACAAGCTCAGAATTTGCCGATTGATTTGATAGGTATAATTTCTAAATAAATTCAGTATTTGATCAAATATTTTGGCGTTTATTAAACAATTTAACTAAATTATTGGATTCTTTTACATAATTCAAATAGTGAGTTATTGATTATTTTGATGCTAATTAGTATCTGCAATTACAAAATAATAATGGCAACTATATTGTGTTGCTTTGGTTCCATTCGGTGAAAAATGCAGATCAGATTCCAGGAATTTCTTCATCAAATATAACAGAGCTTCAAACAGTCTTCCGAAGGAATGATTTGAAATTCATGCAGCTTTCTCTAGAGTGCATTTCAAAGGTACCAAAAGCGCAGTATCTCCTCTTCACTTCCGTATATGAGCTTGAACCACAGGAAATGGAAACTCTACGAGCAACTTTCCAATTTCCTGTCTATTCTATTGGGCCTGCAATTCCTTACTTAGAACTCCAACCTAATTATACCCTTGAGTACCAAAAATGGCTAGATTCCCAACCTGAAGCCTCTGTATTATACATTTCATTAGGAAGTTTCCTTTCTGTCTCAAAAAACCAAATGGATGAAATTTTTTCTGGGCTTCAAGATAGTGGTGTTCGATACTTATGGGTGGCGCGTGGAGAAGCTTCGGGGTTAAAGGAGATTTGTAGTGATAAAGGGTTGGTGTTGCCTTGGTGTGATCAATTGAAGGTTTTGTGTCATTCCTCTGTAGGAGCATTTTGGACACATTGCGGTTGGAATTCTACATTGGAAGCACTTTTTGCAGGTGTACCTCTGCTTACTTTCCCTTTATTCTTTGATCAAGATCCAAATAACAAGAAAATTTTGGAAGAATGGAAAATTGGTTGGAAAGTGCAGAGCAAAATGGGAGAAGAAAGCTTGGTGAAAAGAGAAGAAGTTGCGCAACTTGTTAAAAAGGTTATGGATTTGGAAAGTAAGGAGAGTAAAGAAATGAGGACGAGAGCAAGAAAACTTAGCGATGCCTGTCAACTAGCTATTACTGAAAACGGATCGTCCGTGAAAAATCTTGATGCGTTTATTAGGAATATTTTGCAAGGCAATTAAACAGAGTGTCTTTGTAACTCTTGAAGCCACTAATTGTGTGTAATCTAAAATCATTTAATAAAATGATAAGCCTAATGCAAGAATTCAAGTTTTTGTCCAAGATAAGAAATGTTATATGACAAGGCCACGTTTATAAAACTACAAGTGCCGGGCAAACAGAATAAAAGAAGACAACAATGGCTAGAATACAAAACTACAAACAAGTATTTTTATTCAAGCGGCAACCTTTTCTTCTTCAATTGAAGGTCTTCGTTTTAGAAATTCTGTCAAGTTCTTGTTTCACCCTTCTTCTATGCAGAAACAAAATCAGTCTCTAGTTTCTTGCAATGACAAAGAATCAACCCCAATTTGCCACGTGGTAGCTATGCCTTATCCAGGCAGAGGCCATGTAAATCCTATGATGAATCTCTGCAAACTATTAGCAGCTTCAACAAAATCTGATATTCGCATCACCTTTACTGTTACTGAAGAGTGGCTTGGCCTCCTTAGCTCTGACCCAAAGCCTGAAACGATTCGTTTTGCATCAATACCTAATGTTATCCCATCTGAGCGTATTAGGGCTTCGGATTTTCTTGGATTTTATGAAGCTGTTATGACAAAAATGGAAGCTCCTTTCGAGCAGCTTCTTGATCGCCTTCAACCATCTGTGACTCTTATAATTGCTGACATTGAACTACGGTGGATGATCGACTTGGCTAATCGGAGGAATATTCCGGTGGCTGCAGTTTGGACATCATCAGCGACGTATTTCTCGATTTTGTATCATTTTCATCTTTTCGCTAAAAATCAGAATTTGCCGATTGACGTGTTGGGTAAGATAATTTCAACTTTCAAGTATTTGTTTGCTCTGCTAATAGGATAGTATTATTAGCTAATATAAAATTACTATTTTATCTATATTTTAATGTGATTGTTATCTACTTTATTTCTCTGTTTTAGAAAATAGATGATTTTATTCTTAACTTTTGATTCCATTCAACTATATTATTTTTTCGTCCATGTTTTTTTATTTTTTCATTAAACAGTGTGAAAATAATTATTATTTTATTTTTATATTTTACTGAAATTAATTATTTTGTCCACATATTTTTAAGGATAAAATAGTAACTTTTTAAAATGGAAAGGAAAATATAATTAATTTCCATAGAATATAATATAAAATAGCAGTAATTATTTTTAAGGCTTTAACAAAAAAAGTCTAAGAAATAGATAAAAGAATAAAATAGTTGGACGGATAATATTAAAGATAAAATTATATATTTTTGAAATTAAAATAATTAATTATGACAAAATTCAGGAATAAAATTGTATTTACTTATAAAACAAGTAGTCCTATTTTGAATTTTTAAAAAATATTTATTTTATTATGTTTGGACTTTTTTCTTAGCAAAGAAGCAAAATTATGTCTAAAACTTATTACAATCATGTCATGTTCTTGCTTTGCTTCTGTTTAGCAAAAATTGCAGATCAAATCCCAGGAATTTCTTCATCAAATGTGTCGATCCTTCCAACAATCTTCCATAGAAATAATTTAAGAGTCACGCAGCTTAGTCTGGAATGCGTTTCAAAGGTACCAAAAGCACAGTATCTACTCTTCACTTCTGTATATGAGCTTGAACCTCAAGAAATGGAAACTCTAAAAGCAACTTTCCAATTTCCTGTTTATTCTATTGGCCCTGCAATTCCTTACTTGGAACTCCAACCTAATTATAGTACCCTTGACTACCAAAAATGGCTAGATTCCAAACCTGAAGCCTCTGTATTATACATTTCATTGGGAAGTTTCCTTTCTGTTTCAAAAGCCCAAATGGATGAAATGGTTTCCGGGCTTCAAGATAGTGGAGTTCGATACTTATGGGTGGCGCGTGGAGAAGCTTCGCAGTTAAATGAGATTTGTAGTGATAAGGGGTTGGTGTTGCCTTGGTGTGATCAATTGAAGGTTTTGTGTCATTCCTCTGTAAGAGCATTTTGGACACATTGCGGTTGGAATTCTACACTGGAAGCAGTTTTTGCAGGTGTGCCTATGCTGGCTTTCCCTCTGGAGTGGGATCAATATTCAAACTGCAAGAAAATTGTGGAAGAATGGAAAGTTGGTTGGAACGTACAGAGGAAAATTGGAGAAAATAATTTGGTGACTAGAGAAGAAATTACAGAACTTGTTAAAAAGTTTATGGATTTGGAAAACAATGCCAGCAAAGAAATGAGGATGAGAGCAAGAGAATTACGGGATGTCTGTCGGCAAGCTATTACAGCAAGTGGATCTTCTGCTAAAAATCTTGATGTGTTTGTTAGGAATATTTTGGAAGGAAACTGCTATTGAGCTGTTTGTCTATTTTGATCTTTGTATATTGGTCTATTTCTTGCACATTTGTAATTTGCATAAGTTTGAGATTAATATTGCTTCTTGTTTGGCCCGAATACATATTTCTGAATGCATCTCCCAGTCACATGTATCATTACAACATTGGATAAAAACAAGATTGTTTATCGCTATTGACAGAAGGGGAAATTGAACATCAAATACAAAACCTCAAAATTGCAAATACAGGTATGAGACAAGGAGAAATTTTCTCAATTGTACAAAGCAATTGCCTTCCAATTTATTAGTCCTCTGTTGTTTGTATTTCAAACACAGCAGATTCTTCAGAGCAAGAACTGGGGAACTTCTTCTGGATGATTTTTAAAGAACCTGCGTGCGAAGAAAAGGATCAAGTAAAGTGACCTCATTAAGTGAACAAGACATAAGTATCCAATGAATATTTACTGCTTTAACATTTCTAAGGTCTGTCATTGTTGATTCCCTTGATTGAATTAGAAGATTGAACTTTGTGGGTTTCTGACTGTTTTGCTCCCTTGGTCAATTCAGATGTTTCATTCAAGCCTTGTTGTTGGCTTGGTTCCTGCCTGCTTTCCCATAACTTCCCACTCTTTCCAATTGCAAGAATCAGCTCTAGTTGTTTCTCTTGTTGTTCCTACAAGAACACTCGAGGCAAGAAATCAAAGTCAATCGATTGTATTTTAGCTCCACAAGACATAAAAAAGGCATTTATCTAACAAATGATTCTCAGAATAATGCTATAAGCATTGACATACAGGATATCCAATGAATAGAAGTTTTGAAAACAAAGTGATGACGGCAATTTTTCACAAAAATCATGCAGGTGGTCCTGGTATACATGAAGCATATTCTTTGCATCTACTTATTTGGATAAAATACACTATCTATTTCTTGAAAGCGCCTTGAAAAAACACCTGACCAGGTTTTAGGCAAGCTTTCCTGGGATAGCCACAGAACCAGTCCTGATATTTTGGGAAATACAATCATGATCTAGTAACTTTTAAACTCAGGAATCAGCATAGATGACAAGATCTCATAAATACAATGTTTATCCCAGAATAATAGACATTAAACTGAGCAGATATCTACTTGCAATTTACTATCTTGAGATTATTGGCATCTGCTTGTCAACTACCTGAATAAAGCAACACCTGAATAAATGGCCAGGGGAATCCATTGGAAAATCATATTATTCAGTTGAACATACCTGCATTGCCAACAAAACTTTCTGAATTTCACCAAGCTCCTTTTCTAGGATATCTTCCTGCATCGCTAGTGCTCGAGTGGCCTCAGAATTTTTTTTTGCCAAAGCTGCAGTCTTCAGATAGAGGCAGAACATAAGTTAACAGAAGTGGATACCTTGCGAAATAAGTCAGTTAGCTTATGAAAAACTAGCAGCAAATTCACCAAACAGTAATTTCACTAACACCAAAAACTCTATCATTCATAAGCATTGCTTATTCAGACTCCAATTATTGCAACCCAGTTATGTCCCTAGGTGGCTAGTTTATCGGTTTATCAATTTAAGCTCCAGTCATGAAATATGGACACAATACACATGTTTTTCTTGAAGAGAAGGTCTTAGAATGAATGATAGTGATCCAACTTCCAAGAGTTATGGAACTTGAATGATCAAAGGTGCAATGCACAACCAGTCCAAAGTTGATTTGAGTGACCAATGAACTCTGTGACCTGCTCCCTATGCCTTAAATTATGAAGTAGCAATTCTTAGAGGTATTAATAAACAGAAAGGATAACTGAGAGCACTACAGGACAACCTAGTAACTTCCATTTAAAAGGTTCCCCATACAATGGTAGAAAATGGCATAACAATGACTAGTAAATAGACGAGTATAAATTTGATTCTCTTAAAAAAAAATCAAACAAAATGCTAGGAATCACTAATGTGAAAGCAAAGTGAAGAGGCATGAAAGTACAGGTAGAGAAAGCCTTAATAATAGACTGCCACTTCAATCTGTTGATTAATAACTTGTCCTAAACTAAAACCAAGCCTTCTTATAGAATCGGTTACACTTTTTATGTAATGAATAAACTAAATACAAGAAGTTAAAGGAATGCAGTGATCAGTAAAAATACTGCAAAGATTTAGAAAGCACTGTGCGAACAATAATCTAGCAGCAGCACATTGAATTAACAGATACTACTAACAAGATATTAAGATGATTGTAGTCTATTAACAAAGACATACAGAGTCGAGCAAATTGCAGAAAGCCAACAACTTTAATTTAAATCTGAATGGATCCAAGCGAATTAATTATTTGCTTGGCCATTGGCAGGCATAAACTATTAGAAGGTTTGCGAATATATTAGAGGTTCAATCAATCTTAAGACTTCTTCCCTGGACTTCAGCCGCCTTCAATTCTCACAAATCAATCTCCTTGGACTCCATACTAACAAATGTCAATTACTTTATAGGAAACTCGTATTTTTGCTAATATTTAGGCCAATTCCTCATAAGGACTGCAATATTTACCTGAACCGTGTGCATGTTTTATTCCAACAGAATGCAACAATCCTAACCAACAACAAAGTAAACAAATACAATTTCTACTCAACATATGTAACCAAAAAAGAAAAATATTACTTTCCCTTCGAAGAGAAGACTGTGTATACCTCAGCAATGGGCTCTTTCAAAGCTTTCCTTGTAACCCGAAATCGAATCCCCAACTTCTCAAGCTGCCTGGACAAAACTCGAATTATTGTAGCAGAGCTCCTTAAATCTTCTTCCAATTTTTCAATCCTCTCCACCAAATTCACACTCTCCCGGCCCTCCCTAACCGTTACCCTACAAAATCGCAGCCATTGCCGCTTCCTAATCAAAGCTCCAATCAATACACCACCCATCATCACCACCAATCCCCAAGCCAACGCCCTATTACTCCCAATCACCGCAAACACCGTCCTTTTCGAGCTCAAAAATGTAGAATTCACCGCATAACAGACTGTAACAACCGCCGATGAGATAATACATAAAATTTCAGCAATTGAGAGAAAAGCATCGAGATTGAAACCATCAGAGCTCGGTGTTGGTACTACGCCATCGTATTGATAGGCTTTGAGAGGAAAACTATTGGATTTTAAGGTGAAATTTAAAGAACTTTTGGGTTTGTAGCGAAAAGTTTGGCAATGGAAGGAAGTGGCGAGGTGGCGGGAGAGGATTCGAGGAGAGATATTAGGGTTTTGAAGAGACAGGCTAATGGGAGTAGTGAAGTAGAAGGTGATCCGAGAAGGAGAGTTTCCAAAGAGGTGATGAGTGGTAAGGGACATTGTCGTTTTGATTTTCTCTATATGTTAAGTTCAGATTCCGATTCTGTTAGGGGTTTGGACAGTCACAGAGGAAGGACATGATCAGGGTTTTTGGTCTTCAGAAAGAGAGAGAGAGAGAGAGAGAGAGATTGACAAGCAATGGCGATTAGTTCAATGGCTGGCGCGATTTTAGCTGTCCGAGCAAGTTAGTTTTAGAAAGTTTTGACAGGCTAAAATGCGCAACGACCAACTAGAAGTTATTGGCCAGAGATACCGTTATATCCTTAATAGTACTATTTGTTTTCAAAATGAATCACTTGATGGAGTAATTACTCTATAATCCCTCTATTCTCTTTATACGGTGTGATTTGCATAAGAATTAAGAACGAAGATGATAGTTTAATCGAATATTTCTTTTCCATTTATGCTTAATCTACTCTTAAATATCATTAATTAATCCGTTAATTAAGAGAGAACCAACTCGGTGAAACTCCCAATAAAGTATTAATTACGAGATTTGTAATAAAAATGAAAGGAAGGGGTAAGATAATATATTAAATAAACTTTCTCAAATTATAACATCACATTTCAATACATAAACTCTTTAACATTTTCAAATATAGGCGTACAAATATAACGAAAATGTGGAGCCAGAATTTTATTATTCATTGTCTCCTCAATTTTTACAATACGTCTACATATAAATTTGAAACATGTCATAAACATGTAATACATGCAAGCTTTTTTTTTTTTAAAAAAAAAGGATAGAAATAGGGCAACAATAATTGTTATATCATGAATCCACTATTTTTATTTTATCTCAAAGACATTCCAATTAATTCACCGTACATTCTCAAGATATGACCACAATTCTCCAATTATCCAATTTTGAACTTTTTACCTGATAAAGAAAAAGGTTTTGTAGTTTTTCTTGAAATGAGTCAATCCCAAAATATTATTGCAGCCAATACAAAAATATGAATAATTGATGATGTAAAAAATTCTATAAGCACCATATTTTTTTTCTAAGTTGCAACAATGTAACTTAAATGCATGAAGTTATACAAAAGTTGCGGCCATATTAATATATCTATGAAGTCAATTTAAGTTCGTACTGCCTACATTTCATGGGCATATAATTTTCATCGGTTCTTAGTTAAATGACAATTATATTACGTTAGATGGAGTTAACGAAATTCATGCACATATTTATAAAGTGAAATATGAAAATAAAAGGGTCTTTTAAAACTAGGTTGCAACCTTCCAATTACGCGTTCATGTTATATATAATTACACAAACTGTCACTTACATTTGTGCTCACATCCATAAAGTCGAGCACACCATATTTTTTTTTTTTAAGTTGCAACAAGATAACTTAAATGCGTGAAGTTATACAAAAGTTGCAGTCACGTTAGCATATCTATGAAGTCAATTTAAGTCTGTACTGCCCACATTTCATTTGAAGAACATGAGCATATAATTTTCATCAGTTCTCAGTTAAATGATTAAATTATATTAAGGTAGATGGAGTTAACGAAATTCATGCACATATTTATAAAGTGAAATATGAAAATAAAAGGGTCTTTTAAAACTAGGTTGCAACCTTCCAATTACGCGTTCATGTTATATATAATTACACAAACTGTCACTTACATTTGTGCTCACATCCATAAAGTCGAGCACACCATATTTTTTTTTTTTAAGTTGCAACAAGATAACTTAAATGCGTGAAGTTATACAAAAGTTGCAGTCACGTTAGCATATCTATGAAGTCAATTTAAGTCTGTACTGCCCACATTTCATTTGAAGAACATGAGCATATAATTTTCATCAGTTCTCAGTTAAATGATTAAATTATATTAAGGTAGATGGAGTTAACGAAATTCATGCACATAGGTTAATTTGTCTGTAAGTGGTTTTAAAATGTCAAAAACACCCTTAAGAATAATTACGTTATAGGGACTAAATAGTGTAAAATTATAAAAATTAAGTCCTTATTATTATATTTCATCAAATACAAGGATTTGCATAGTAATTATTTTTAAGATTATTTTTGACATTTCATAGTCATTTAATGCAAAAACTAACGGTCTGACCTTATAGTAAAATAAAGTTATAATGCAATAACTAAATAGTGTAATTTTGAAAGGAAAAATTATAGTACGATCCTTATGGTTTCTGAAATACAACTAGTCCATCCCTAATTTTTTTATAATAAATTGAAACATCCTTATATTTTACTTCTGTCAGACTAAAAGGTCCTTCCATTCAATTTTTGCATTTTATCCGTTAAGTACTTTATGAAATGACGAAAATGCACTTTTTATTTTTAAAAACACGGGAATGGACTAATTTTATTTTTCAAACTATAGGGATTGTATTATAATTTTTTTAGTAAAATATTTGAGTATGTCTTCTTTGACCTTTGTATTTTCTTGTTGACTCAATGAAAAAAGATAAAAAAAATGGACAGAAGGACCTAGTAGTATACCAGATGCAAAACATAAAGATAAATTGGTATATTTTAAAAAAGATAGGGACAGACTAATTATTTTTTTGCAAATCACAAGAATCATACTGTAATTTTTGCTTTTAAAAATTGAGGTCTTTAGTAGTGTATTTTAGCAAAATCTAAGGCCTACATAGTTATTACTTATTCTAAGATGAGCCGGTACTCTCTCTCTCTCTCTCTCTCTCTCTCTCTCTCTCTCTCCTCTCTCTCTCTCTCTCTTCTCTCTCTCTCTGCTTCTCTCTCTCTCTCTCTCTCTTCCTCCTCTCTCTCTTTCTCTCTCTCTCTCCTCCTCCTCTCTCTCTTCTCTTCTCTCCTCCTCTCTCTCTCTCTCTCTCTCTCTCTCTCTCTCTCTCTCTCTTTGAGGATATACCCCCACCTCACGGTTAAACGATTCAAATCTCGTGTTTGTTAGAATTAAATCTAATGCACTTCAACTACTAGAGTAAGCTATTTTGAATAATTACACCTTTAACTTTTAATCAACCTATAAAATCCTTATACTTGAAAAATTATTATCTACTGAATATTTAAATTTGTAAAATCATACCTTTTAAAAATAATTATATTTTTTCCAGTTATTTGGATATATGCTCAGTAAGTGTAATATTTTACGTGTCTTTTGATATAAATGATTAAACAATACTTTATATATATTTTTAATCATCTAGTAAATATTTTGTAAATATTTTGTAAGTACGTTTTTATAAGTTAAGGTGTTTAATATATATAATTTTATAAGTTGAAATGTTTAATAAATATAGTTTTATAAATTGAATAATTTAATAAATTTCGTAAATATTTCGTAAAAATTTCGTAATCATCTAGTAAATATTTCGTAAATATTTCGTAAGTACGTTTTTATAAGTTAAGGTGTTTAATATATATAATTTTATAAGTTGAAATGTTTAATAAATATAGTTTTATAAATTGAATAATTTAATAAATTTCGTAAATATTTCGTAAAAATTTCGTAATCATCTAGTAAATATTTCGTAAATATTTCGTAAGTACGTTTTTATAAGTTAAGGTGTTTTGTAAAAATTTAAAGTTTCACTAAATTTTTTGGTGTAGTTTAAGTATCAATTTATGCATTTACCCAAATTTATTTATAGTATGGCTACATATGAGTTGGATTGAATCATATTTATTAATGTAACATTATCTAAGATGAGCCGGTATATTAATTATTTTCGGCTTAACATAATTCATTAAATATGTGAATCCATCAATTGAAAAAGGGTTAGATCGTGCACAAGTTAATTTATTATTATATGGTATTTATCACTATATTATATATTAAATATTAAATATATTTTTGTCTACAAACTAATTCTAATCCCGCATGTTGTGCGGGTTTAATGTATATAAATTATTTGCAATAGCTTAGAGCTATATTATTTTATAGATGAAGTTATTTGAAATTTAATTTACTTATTATTTATTACTCCATTCATTCCATATTAAGTGTCCATTTAACCAAAAAAAAAAAAAAATCAATTTAAGTTTCCTTTGGTAAAATTAAAATAACATTATACAACTATTTTCAAATGTACTCTTATTGTTATAAGTCAATATAATTTTTTTTTTCAAAATAATATTTTAGTAAAATATTAGCCATATTTATGATTTTACATGATTTCTTTTATTCTAGTGAAATTTCTCTAAATGGACATTTTATATAGAATGGAAGGTAATATCTATCGATACTATATATAAAAGTGGAAAATGAGGAGGAATAATGAGATTACCGATAGTGCTCTTAATGAAATTTAGAATATACTAAAATAACCTTACTCAGTTAATTAAAAAATTACATTTTATTAGTTGATTATATATATTTATATTTTATTTTTTATTTTTATTTTCTTTTTCATTGCTGAATAATTTGTAACTATTATTATTTTTTAGCATTTCAAAATTGTAATTTTTATCTTTTTAAATTTATTTTTAATAAATATAAATGTTAAGGAGACATTTAAAATTTTTATATTTTATTTTTTAAATATTTAATTTTATTTTAATTGTAATTTAAAATATTTATTTCGGAGAGAAATAAAAAGGAAAAAATTATATTCTTTTTATTAATATTTTTTTCTTTATATTTTGTAGAATTTGATTGGATATATTTTTTAAAAAAATAAATTTTTAAATAGAAGGACCAGTAAACCAATTCGATTTTCGAAACCAACATCGAAAAAAAAACTAGGGAAAAACCCCAAAAACAAATTGAGCAAATTCATAAGAATAGAACCAAAACCGTTCGAATCGGAACCGGTTTGGTCCAGGAAGCTTAGAATTCTCCTTTTTTTTTCCTTTTCTTCTTCTTCCGCAGCGCCGACCTCACCCCCCCCCGGCGCTTTCCTTTTCGCCCTTTTTTCCGGTTCACCTGAAGCCAGCGCCGGTTTCCCATCGCCTCCCGTCCGCCGTTCCCCTGTGCCGCTTCTTTTTCTCCCTCCACCTCGTTGCTCAGGCTAGCCGCTGTCGCAGATAAGCCGCGATTCGTTCGATCGGGAGTTGCGTTCAACCTCTCCACTGATTTTCCGCGCTTGTCACCACCGGAAACGGTCCAGTCCTCCCCTTCAGCGACTCATCGACGGCGAGCTTCTCCCTCTCCTTCTTCGTCTCTGATTCTGGCGAAGCATGGGAATCACGAGCGAGTCGCGATTCCGCTTCACTCGAGACAGTCGCGTCATCTGCTTTCACCTTCAAGTTTCCGACATTTTTCCAGTTGAGTAAGTCAATCCCCAACATTCATCAGTTTAATTTATGAATTCCTTGATCAAAGATGGAGGTTTCTAATCGTGAATAAAACTATTGCATAAATCTAGACCCTAGCTCCTACTGTCATACATTTTTTTTAAGGAAAATTTTGATTCTCTAATTTAGTTTAAATTATTAGCTAAGTTAATGGATAAATTTAGCATGAACAAAGGAATTTTAGTTAAGAATAGATATAGCATGATTATGACAGCAACATTATCGCTAGTACTTGATCTATTGCAGGAATTTATAAATTTAGCTACTGTTTAGGCGAATGTGAATAGAAATTTGGAATTTTTGCTCTTGAAATCTGTATATAAAAAATCTGATATAAAATATTCCTATATTGGATGGTTAGAGTATGCGTTTATATAAAATCCTTTGAAGGAATTAAGCATCTTTAGGTTAAAAATAACTAGGTTAGCTGATATGGTCAAGTTCTCGATGTATCCTAGGAAGGAGGAATTCGAATTTTTCCAATTTGAATGATAATAAACTGAAATTTTTATTAAAAAAAAACATTGCAAAACCAGGGGTATTATGGGTACCTAAATAGGAAATTCTGAAATTCCTTGAGCTAGCATAGTTATTAGTTGATTCTTGAAATTATAGTGTGTGGGATGAATATGCGAAAGTCATAAACCAAGTCTTAATCGATATAGCTCAAGTTTAAGGAAAAAATATATTTTTCTTGGGCGCAGTAGCCTATTTCAGTACTTTCGTTTACCAATTTTAAATGGTATGGAAACAGAGTATGTATGTATATTATATTTTCAATAATCTTATGTGGGTTTTAGTGTTGGTACTGCGCTTGATAGCAAATATTCTTACAAATTAACGATTTCAAATTGTAAGAAACTTCTAGCTAAAATATCTAGAAAGTTGTAATTCTTTATGTCCAAGACGGAGAAAGAGAATTTGAAGCTTATTAATGTTTTAAGTTTCAAAAAAAGCTATTTGGTTATCTAGTTAGAGAGTTATTTATTAACGTAATTTAATTGAAGTCAGTTCTTAATAGTTAGTTCTAGAACTTTAATAAATGTTTAATTGAGATTTCTAGTAACTTAAGCAAGAATTATGGATAACATTCCTAGATTAGTTGAAGTATTTTTAATTTTGTAATTATGGTGATTGGTAATTATTACTATTGGAGCGGAGTATTTATTGATCGATTGCCGACAGATGGGTGTGTGTGTATTGATTGATAAATATATAAATAATTACTGTTTATCTAAACAGTGAATAGTCCAAATTACAGGGGAGGATGCTGCCGAAATTTCTAGAACTTAAACTAGTTTTAATAAAACATAATTAAAAAGTTATTAGATTAATTCTAAACCATAATGCATAATAAATAGAGTGCTCTAATATTTACTTTATTATCTTTACTTATTCATTTTAGATTATTAAGTTATAATTATTTTCATTGTTATGTTATTATTATCATTTATTTTATTGGGTTGTTATTGTTAAAAATGGTATATTAATTATGAATTGCATTGAGACAGGATGTCTAATTGTGCATTCATTACATTTCAACTGAATTCAATTGTCTGCATTGGATTGCAATGTTGATTAATGTGTGTGAAAATGCATGTTTGTTTGTTGTGGAATTGGGATGCAAGTGGACCACATGGTTTGTTGAGGACGGTCTTTGAATGGATCTTGAATACGATATATACTTGACTTCGGTCGGGAAAATGGAGATCGGCGCCCACCTTGTGCACCTGATGATATAGATCATATGGGGATTTACAGGATGGTTCTATTGTTCACGCACCTATTAATCTAGATTTGATGTAGCCCGCAGGGTGGCCTCCTGTTGTGAGCACTTGTGATAATCTAGATTGGATGGAGACCACCGGGTTGCCTCCTGTTGATATGGAAAAGAAACGAGAGACTGGAAAAACAATGAGAGGACTGGTCAGTGAGCATTAGACCAGTTGGCCGTATGGGGGATCGGCTCCCTAGTGCACATGTACGAGAGGGCGAGCCATGTGTGAGGACGGCTCGTTTGGGTTTCAAGTGGTGCCACTGACTAATTACCACTTGCTTGATTACTTGAAAGTGACATTACGTGTGAGTGCTGGTATGTGTAATTTGTGTGACTGGCTGCGTGAGCATATAACTAGTCGGATGACTAGATTGAAATGTTTACATATTTGTGTGACTGCGTGTGTTGTGCAATAATTAAAACCACATGTCTATTTGATTTAATCAGAGGAAGTTAAGTTTTTCTAATTCGATTAGGGCTATGTTCTTCGGCGCAGGGGCAAATACGAGAATTCCTAAGTTCCATAATTATTACTATGTAATTATGTGTTATTAAAAAACCATTGTATACCAAAACATTAGGGAACTCCGCAGTTGTAAGATACAATATATTTAGTCGTTATAACTAGACAAATAACCTGTAAGCCCAATTAGAATGTGATGTATTGTAAATGGCCGAACTAGTGGAATCTGTAGGAGATAAATTGGGGAGAAAAATAATAAAAATTGAGTTAATTTTTCATAAGTCATTAGGGGCTGAATGTTGAATTAATCCGATATACCAGATAATAGATTCTAGTGTTCAGGCTGACTACAACCTCGGAGGTCTAACTTACCTGGCCCTAGGCCGGTCCGGCCCATGGAATCGGGTCGTGACAGAAAATAAAAACGATATATTTTTATTAATATTATTTTTCTTTATATATATGATTGATGGATATTTTTTTAAAAAAAAATAAAATAAATTTCAAATGCAATAACATAATATTTATTTAGGATGAAGAGAGTAAAAAAGAAAAAGTAGATTATCTTATAATATTTTAAAATAAACTTACATAATTAAACCTTTCAAAATTTTTAAATTTCACTTTTCAAAATTTATTTTAATGAAATTCAACATACATGTAGTTGTAAAAATTTAATTTTAAAAAATATATAAATTATTTTATTGATATATTTATATATCTATATATTGAATTTTTTTGGTGAGTTATAAAAAGAGTTTTATTCTTAATAATAAAATTTTTTATTTTTTATTTTATTTTATTTTTTGTTACTACATAATTTGTAACTATTATCATTTTAATTTAGTAAGAGATTTATATCTCCCCTATAATAAATAGATGGCCTATTAAGCATTTAATTTTTTTGATATTTTTTTCTCTTATTTCATAAATCTGTTTGATTTGAAAGAAAATAGTGTTTAGGAAACTAAAAAAAAAAAAACTAAAACTATATATTTTTGTTTTCGATTACTTTTTGAGATTTTAAAAATTTATGTGTATTGCATATATTCCTTTATTTAATACACTTGATAAGTAATACTGCTATTTTAGCAAAAATGATTACAATTATCAATTTTGTTTGAGACCATTTCATCATATAAAAATAGAATTAAGTACATAAGTAGCATTACAAATAGTTTGTATGACAAAGTGCAATATAAATTAACCACTTATAGTTATTTTAATCTAAACAAAAACTTATGTTTTAATATTATATAGATAAAATAAAAAAATGAATATATAACGAGCATAGTTGTCACGACCCGATTCCGTGGGCCGGACCGGCACTAGTAAGGCCCCCGAGACTCGTAATAAGCCTAAACTACTCAACTCAAGCATAGGACACTATTTAATAGGAATAGTAGGCCCATACAAGTTAGGATATAAATGTCACATGATTCGGCCCAATTTTAATTATCACAAGCAAGTTTAGTTTTGGGCCTAATCATAATCAATCACATTCATAATATGGCATACTGATTCACCTGCACCTAATAACACCACAAACCATATATAAGGTAACACTTACGGTAAGCCCATTTGAAAATAGACACCCTACAACTGCGGAGTTCAACAATAATTTGAAACTAGAGTAGTATATGAAATTAATAATACAATTCTCAACTTATAATAACAAAAGTTATAAGTTTACTTTTGTAGCTCCGCGAAGAAAATGACAGAGCTTCAGTTGGATCAGCAATTTCCTACTACCTGAGAAGTTCGGAGAGAAGGGGGGTGAGTTTTGCAACTCAGTGAATAATAATAAATAATACACACCACATACAGTCACGCAAAATGCACCCTAATATTTTAAAATGAGCATACTGCAGTCATTCATATGGCACAACACTAGCACCCACAAGTAATGTCACCTTCAAGTAATCAAGTAAGTGGAAATTAGTCAGTGGCACCACCTGAAACAGTGGCACCACTTGAAACCCAAACGAGCCGTCCTCACACATGGCTCGCCCTCTCGTACATGTGCACTAGGGAGCCGATCCCCCATACGGCCAACTGGTCTAATGCTCACTGACCAGTCCTCTCATTGTTTTTCCAGTCTCTCGTTTCTTTTCCATATCAACAGGAGGCAACCCGGTGGTCTCCATCCAATCTAGATTATCTAGATCGTCAAGTGCTCACAACAGGAGGCCACCCTGCGAGCTACAATCAAATCTAGATTGTCAGGTGCGCAACAACAAGAAGCCATCCTGTGAATCTCCATATAATCTAAATCATCAGGTGCACAAGGGGGCGCCGATTTCCCATTTTCCCGGCCAACGGTCAAGTATTATATCATAACCGGATCCATATCACAGACCGTCCTCACAAACCCCTGGTGGTCCACTTCATCCCAATTCCACACAAACAAGGCAACGTATAGCACAGCACAAGTAATCCAAACAATGCTTTCAAAGTAATACATCAAATACATCCAATTGTACAATCATAAATATAATTATATAGTAATAGTGACATAATATATATCTAGTAAATAATTACTATGCAAATGCAATATTGATATGCATTATTTATTATTACTCACAGTGATGGAGAGCGAAATCCTAACTTTGATTCTGTCCTGGAGGAGCACTAGATGGACCCGGGCGATCTAAGAAATTAAAAGAATGACACCAGAAAATAATTATATTAGATAAAATATCTCTTTTCCCTTCTAAGAGTTTTATTTTATATTCTAAATTTTTCTACGTAATTTAATCTCGATATCTAATTTCTTTTCTGTACTAAAATTTTATCGTTCTATCTAACTCTATTTTATTTGTTTTCGTTTCGTTTTTGAATTATATTTTATTTCTTATTTTTTTCTATTAAAATTTATTTTATTTTCTACCGAAATTTCCGGCTACCGAAATTTCGGCAGCATCTCCCCTAAAAATTGGACTATCCACCTGTTAAAATATCAACAATATATCTAATATTTCCAAACCACACAGCCTATCCATCGGTCAATCAAACAATCAAATTTTCCATCCTCCATCAATCTCAACATCACCACACAATAACATTATGCTTAAACTATCTTAATTAAATCAACACTAAAATTACAAGGCTATTAACTACCCACATTTACCAAATTAAATTAATTACATTAATCCACTACAAAGTAATAAGTTTAATTTAATTAACTAACATTACTAACATTAACTTAACTAAACTTAACTAACTCATTAATTACAGATAACAAAAATTAATTTCGTTAACTAACATTACTAAATTAATTAACTACAAATAATAAAATTAATTTAATTAACTAATATTACTAACATTAACTAGATTAACTAAAATTATTAAAATTAAACTAACTAATAACTAAAATTTTAATTAACTATAATTAATTAAATTAAAATTAATTGAACTAAAATATATTTAAATTAATTATCTAAAATTACTAAAGTTAATAAAATTAAATTAATTAACTAAAATATATTTAAATTAATTATCTAAAATTACTAAAGCTAATTATCTATTTAATTATACCTAAAAAAAAATATAGCTGCTGGAATTATTTGACCGGAAACGGAGGCTACACGTGCCGGAATGAAGAGCAGGTGGAGGCTGGTGGCCGGAGGTGCACTGGAGCAGCGGCAGAGCTGCTGTGACGCCAGCGGAGGCGACCGATCGACGTGCTGGAGCGGCAGCAGTGGCAGTGGCGCCTTGACAGGGCTGTGGTGCTGCTGCAGGCGCGACAGAGGAGCAGCAGTCACTTTCTGAGCTTGCCGGCGCGACGTGGAGCTGCTCTGTGGAGGTGCGACTTGCGGCGGCGAGCGGTGGTCGATCTGCTCCAACTTTGCAGGCGCAGCACAACAGTAGGGAAGAAGGAAGGAGAAAGAAAGAAAAGAAAAGAAAAGAAAAGGAAAGGAAAGAAAAGAAAGAAAAGAAGAAGAAGGAAAGAGGAAGTGGAGGAGGAGTGGTGGCGCTATGGTGTTGCTAGGTGGTCAGAGGCGTAGTGAGTGGGTGAGGAGAGATGAGGCGTGTGCTGGAAATAGAGGAAGAAGAAAATTCTAGATGGTTTGGGTCGAACCGGTTCGATTCGGCCCAAATCTTCGGTTTTCAATGGTTTTTGACTTTTTCAATCGGTTTTCGGTTCGGTTTCTCACAGTATTCGTACTAAAATATTAATATTAATTTTCAGGCTGTCGGTACATTAAATTTAATTAGAAAATCTTTGAAATTATAAATTCGGGTTGTTTCAATAGTCAACATGTAATGCACGTCATAAAAAAGACTAGTATCTATAAATATCTATATCAATTTACATAACAACACAATTATATCTTAATAAATTAAAAAAATAAAAATACTTAATTTGCATTAAGTTGATTGAAGAATGCAAGTAAATTAATATGATTCCTTCAAAAAAAGGAAATCAATACGATAAAACAAATAACATACGTAATGTTAGAAGAGATTGAAGGTATATATAGTTGAATTAAATGGGTGCAATAAATTTATTATGAGGTTATTAATTTAAAAAAAAATTAAAGAATTTTATCATTATTATAATAAATTTATTATTTGGATAAGAAATTAAAGAGTTTCATCATTAATTATATTATATTATATTAATAAATAGTTGACTCTTTAATATATTATAGATTATTAATCATTGGAAAAAAGAAATGAAGAGATCCACTTTTTTAGAATTAAAAATTCTACAAATTAGTAGGAGTATGCAATAAATTTATGATATATTTATTAATTATTGAAAAAAATAAGATTTTTACAATATTGGAAAAAGAAAATAAAGATTTCTATAATTATACAATGAGAATTTCTTTAAATTAAGTATAATTAAAATTAAAAATATTTAAAAATAATTAAAAATAACAAAATGCCACATCAATTTATTATGTGGTTATTAATTATTGAAAATTAAATTAAAAAGTTATAGTATGAATATGATAAATTTATTGTTTGAATTATTAATTATTACAAATAAAAACAAAGAGTTTTTTTTGCAATATATTTTTGTTTTAATTATAAAATTCTTATTATATTCTATAAATTATTATTTATAGCAAAGTCAATCAATTTTAGTTAAGCTAAATTTACTGTAAATATAATTTAGAGGTTGTTTATAAATTATACATAATTTAATAGAATAAATAGATTTTATATTTGCAATTCTGGGGACACTTACAGGAATTAATTGCCAAAAACATATTCTAATAAAACATTTTCTAAAAACTAAAAAGAGATGCAAAAGAACAATAGAGCAAACAGAGGAACAGTGTTTAGGTGTTAGAATTTTTTTTTTTTTTTTTTTTTTTTTTTGAATTTTTTTTTTTTTTTTTTTTTTTTTTGAGAATATTTTTTTTTTTTTTTTTTTTTTTTGAGAGATAGTGTTTGATTCCAAAAGTTGGTAGCAGCAAACATGCTAATTAAATCAGAATGGGTGAATTTTACCTATAAAGTCACCAAACATGAAATAATTTCATTTATATAAACGGATAGAGCTACCGCATGATGCAATAAAAAAAAATAAAAAATAATATTTTAATCAATTTATTTATTCAACGTTAATCCTAATTTCTATTTGATAGTAACATAAATTCTTTTACTCTAAAAAAAAAAAAAAAGATAAATCTAGCTATAGCTAATAGTCAATTGAGGGTTAGCTTACTTACTTAGGCTTTTAATGGAATTAAACAATAGAGACACTTTATTACATTATTTAAATATTGAGGTCCGATATTCAAATAATTGAAAGGAAGATAAATCTTTTCCTAAACATTGAAATATAGTACTGTTGAATATTTGCCACTTACAATTCATTAACACATATGAGATTGTCGGTTAGGATATCTTGCCAAATAAATATGGAAATGCCGGTTGGAGTCCTAGGAGAAAAGGCACCTATAAGGGCTACAATTAATAATAAATCTTTTTTTTTTTACTTCATTAAATGCTTTTATCGCCGAAATAACACTACAGACTATATAATAAAAATAATTATAGTTGAGAGAGAACTCGAATTTGAAATCTCTCACCCTTCACGTAAGCGAAAAGACTAACCGGAACACACCTGATTGAAAACAAAATCAAAAGTCTACTAATTAGAAATAATTGGAACCTAAAAATGAATGAAGTCTAAAACTATAATCCTAGATTAAATAGATTGCTTTTTTCCTTGTTAAAAAAAATTATAAAATAAAATTATTAAATCAACTTTTAAAAAATTTAAGTTACTGTATGAAATCAAAATCAGAAACCCCACAATGTCCCGCAAAGGGGATGGTGAATTGGAAATGACATTTAGGACCATCAAAAGTACCTATCAAAATAACATCACAGCCAAGCTTGTACTCCACATCATTCACATGTTCTTCATTATTAATTAGAATTTAGCACACAATAAATATTATAAATCTAATTTTTAAACGTATTTTTTAATTTTTTAATGTTATATTCATTTTAAATTTATAATTTTATGATTCATTTGCAGCTTTGTTAATTAAAAATTTTATTTATAATAATTTATCATCAATCTGATAAAATTGAAATCAATATACTCCTGTTGCTAATAGCCTATTAATCTTAACATGAATTTTTGGATTTTGTTAATATGACTCAGGTTGGAATTTTGTATCGACATAGGGAGTTTAGAGCCAAAAAAAAAAAAAAATTGTTTATTTATTATTTTACTTTTAAACTATTGTTAGGTATATCCTGTGGACTAGCTTATTTGAAATTTAGTCCCCACCTTCTTAACAATTAAACCATAGTTAATTAAAGAAATAAAATTTTATTTAGGGTGTAAATGAGTTGAGCCGACTCGTAACTAAGTTGTTCAAATCCAGTTTATACTAACACAATTCGTATAACTAACCATATTTATTAAAAATGACTTGTAGATATTATACTAAGATACAAATAATTTTAAGCTCATCAAATGCGAAAACGAATTCTTTTACTGCTTAAAGAAAAAAAAAAAAGGGTATTTGTATGGTAGTGGATACAAGGAAGCTAGGGACCATGATTTATTGATGTTTTGTTTGTTTGAAGTATTTTTGCAAGTTTGAAGTATATTCAGAAGGGAGTGTTTTGCTCTTTTTGTGGCCTATTCGGCTTGACTCCGATTTAGTCCGGTTAATAAATTTTAAGCATCGAATGGTTAAATAAAAAAAAAGGTTGACTTGTTTGCTAACTGCCTCTTTTTCTTTCTTTCCCTTCTTTTTTTAGGTAAAGTTTATCTAAAATAATATTTAGTATAAATAAAGATGTTCATTTTATTTTTAAAAATTAAATTTTATAAATTGTAATCATAAAATTTTATATTTCCAATTCATTCATATCAAACAAAGATCAATCACTCTATCTAATATGTATTTAATATATTATTGTAGTTTAATATATATATATATATATATATATATTTATATATAGTATATATATTATCATATATATAAAAGCTAATTTTTGGAAGCATGAAATGTACTTAACCTATTGTTAATTTGGTAACCCAGCTTACTATAAAGCTAATTTGGAAGCATGAAATGTACCTTACCTATTGTTAATTTGGTAACCCAGCTACTGTTGTTTGTTGTTTGATTAAGGGACAAACGAGCATAATTATTAATATTTCTTTTCTGACATTTTACAATGAATATATATAGTAATATGAATTTTAATTGTAAATAAATACAAAAACTTACCATATAATCATGTCAAAAGATGTCTTTATTTATCATTTGCTATTTAGCTGTAACTTTAATTATTAAATAATTAAAAAATTTTGCAATCAAATACACATATATAGTAATTGTGAATCATCAATGCTTAAATGAAATATTTATAGTTGTTCAACTTTAGTATTTAAAATTTAAAATTTAAAATAATTAACGCGAACTCATAAGAACTATGCCTATTAAATTATTTAATTATTCTATTTTGAAACCACTAGTTTTTACTGTTAAATATATGTAATATTTAGCTATTGGTGTTCACATTTACTATATTATCATTATTTAATTTCTTATATTTACTGCTGAATTACTGTTAATTATTTATTTAACTGTAATAAATATGAGATTTTTTGAATAAAAGGAGTTGGTAATTTATCCAACCTTGAGAGATGTTAGAGTAATTTCCTTAAATAATAGAGATAAAATAATAATTTCATTTACACCCCCACACTTGGTATTAATTTCCCTTACTAATACATGGCACCGGCAAGTCTCACAGCATGTAATTACTAATTTAGACATGATAAATACGTACGTGACTGACAATTTGTTTGTACTTCGACGCCAACGTAGAGCTAAATTTGGTAGGTTGTAATGAATTATAAGTGGAGCCATCGTTAGGTAGGTTTTTAATAACGGAAAACCTTGATCCCATTGATTTACCAAGATACCCCTATCTCATTTCAGACCTTTTTATTGACTAAAATACCCTCTCCTTTCCCCCACGTGACTGGTTTGGTTTTCTCCATTGCATCTAACCCCAGTTATTTACGGATAAGCCCTTACCCGTCTTTTCCTAACAACCTTCCTTCTTCCTTTGACCGTTGAAGTCTACCAAACCAACAGACTTAAAACCCCTATAAAAACCCCACCTTTCTTTCTCTCTTATTTACCAGAGCCTCCTGCCTTTTCTGTGTAAACAAACAGAAACCTGTAACGACAATGGCTCTGTCAACTCTCTCCTGTTCCTCCTCCAAGTCTCTCCATGTCACCACCCATTCCATTTCTCGCCACCAACGGCAAGAACCGCTGTTCTCACTTTTTCCCGCTAATTCTACTAACAGGTCTAGATCTCTTCCTTCAATTACCGCCATCCGTGCGGCCGAGCCTGGAAAGAATTCTGTCGCAGTTAAGGAATCTTCAGCTGTGGCTCCGGCGTCCACCGGGAAGTGGACTGTTGACAGCTGGAAAACGAAGAAAGCTTTGCAGTTACCGGAATATCCGGATGCAAATGAATTAGAGTCAGTGTTGAAGACTATTGAGGCGTTTCCGCCAATTGTTTTTGCCGGAGAAGCTAGAAGTTTAGAGGAGAGGCTTGCTGAGGCTGCTATGGGGAATGCGTTTTTATTGCAAGGTGGAGATTGTGCAGAGAGTTTCAAGGAGTTTAGTGCTAATAATATAAGGGATACATTCAGAATTCTGCTTCAGATGGGTGTTGTGCTTATGTTTGGTGGCCAAATGCCTATCATTAAGGTCAGATACATTTTTAGATTCTTTGATCTTTTCTTTTAGTATTTATTTAGGACGATTATTAATTTTAATAATTGATTATTTACTTTCTGTGTTAGAATATATGATTTTTTTTAAGTGGGAGGATTTTTTTTTGATGATTGATATATTTTTGATATAGGATTTCAAATTAAATTGAATAAGTTTTGGATGGTGGGCTTGTGTGATATTGATTTTTAAAGAAGAATAAGAGTTTGAATTTGTTATATTATGTCAATGGGATGACAATTGTAGGATTGGTTTTTCTAGGTTGGAAGAATGGCAGGGCAATTTGCAAAGCCTAGATCAGAGGCATTTGAGGAAAAAGACGGAGTAAAATTGCCAAGTTACAAAGGGGACAATGTTAATGGAGATGCTTTTAATGAGAAATCAAGAATTCCAGACCCGCAGAGGCTTATAAGAGCTTACTGCCAATCTGCTGCAACTCTTAACCTTCTTAGAGCCTTTGCCACTGGAGGATATGCTGCCATGCAAAGAGTTACCCAGTGGAATCTTGATTTTGCAGAGCACAGTGAGCAAGGAGATAGGTATATATTATACTATATGCTAACTAAATTTACCTTGAGAAATATTGATCTGTTTTAATTGTATCTTAAAGAAATGATTCTTGGAAATTGTAATTTTTTGGAGTTTTTAGTTGAAGTTAGTAAGTCATTTACAGCTTTAACATGGTTGGTGCTTGTCTTTTTTGATAGGTACCAAGAACTGGCACACCGAGTTGATGAGGCCTTGGGATTTATGGCTGCTGCAGGACTAACAGTTGAACACCCTATCATGACAACAACTGAATTCTGGACATCCCATGAATGCTTGCTTTTGCCCTATGAACAATCTCTTACAAGGCTAGATTCTACTTCTGGCTTGTACTATGATTGCTCTGCTCACATGCTTTGGTGTGGAGAGCGTACACGTCAGCTGGATGGTGCCCATGTGGAGTTCCTTAGAGGAATTTCAAACCCTCTTGGAATCAAGGTACTTCAATGCAAGTTTTATTGAAGCGATCGATCCTTCTTCATTTATTATACTACCAAATCTTAACATTTTGTTGAATTCAAGCCCTACGTTTAACTCTTAATATATAGTGTATCAAAACAAATTCCTAATACCCGCTTCTTTTTGTATGTCCAAGCAAATGTGAGTTAGTTGTCTCTGTGTGCCAGCAAAATTTTGTAGGCTGAAAGTGAAACTTGTGATGCAGGTGAGCAACAAAATGGATCCAAATGAGCTGGTTAAACTCATTGAAATTTTGAATCCTAACAACAAGCCCGGTAGGATAACAATCATATGCAGAATGGGTGCTGAGAACATGAGAGTCAAGCTTCCTCACTTGATCAGAGCAGTACGCAGGGCAGGACTAATCGTGACATGGGTCTGTGATCCAATGCACGGGAACACCATTAAGGCACCATGTGGACTAAAAACACGCCCCTTTGATGCAATTTTGGTAAGATTCATTTGTTGATTCATTTGATTATATAGTCCATAAATTAGACTCCAGAGCATCTGACTACAATTTAAACAATATTACAAATTGAAAAATGGAAGCCTATGCTAATACTAAGGAATTAAGAAAAAGATGAACGTGGAAAAAAACTAAGATGAAAATTTCATAATTGTTAGCAATTGTATTTTCATGTGCTTCAAGTAGTTGGCTTGCAGTTCATAGGATCATGATGCTACATTGTGATATCAATTTAAGACTGATTTTGGTGAATCAGCAAGTCATGAACTATTTATGAAATAGGTTTCCGTTTGAGTAGGGAAGATCATATGAGTGGCTAATGCCTAATAATAAGTTTCTTAATAAATATATCACCAACCAGTGGTTTTGGCATGTGGCATGTCACAGTCAAAATATCAATAATTTCGTAAGATTTACCTGACTTGAATACATGATACAGATCAATCAGCCAGGTTGGTTTAGAGAACAAAAAGTTAAAAAATTCAAAGTAAAATTTTTATTTTCTCTTGCTTGGCAAAAATTTCACAAGAAGGCTTTGCTTGAACGAAAAGTACAACCTTTTTTGTTCGCTTCACCCTCTTCTGCTTCAACTCCTGCTCATAATGATGTAATTGTTTGCAGGCTGAGGTTAGAGCATTCTTTGATGTCCATGAGCAAGAAGGAAGCCACCCTGGAGGAATTCACCTAGAAATGACTGGCCAAAATGTGACTGAGTGCATTGGTGGGTCTAGGACAGTAACCTTTGACGACTTAAGTTCACGCTATCACACACATTGTGATCCCAGGCTCAATGCTTCTCAATCTCTTGAGCTAGCATTTATCATTGCAGAGCGACTTAGAAAAAGGAGGATTGGAACCCAACGCTTGCTTGCCTTAAGCCAGTAGACAAATCCAAAGGTCACTTATTTTTTATTACTATTCAGAGAAGTCTCAATGTGTTTGGTAGGGAATAAGTTTGCCATGCATAGTACAAAAGTTCTTGTGTTTTAGCCATCGAGTATTGCCATTTCAGCACATCAATTCTTTCCAATAACTGAAAACTTTGGGATCCCCCGTCGAACAATTTCTTGTATCATTTCGATCAACTGATTTATGTTGTTGGATTTTTTGCTAAACATGGTTGATGCAGCACTCTCTTGAATGAAGCTACTAAAACAAGGTGCTGGAGATGAACTTTTAGAATCTTATTAGTCTTAATTTCGATTGAAGTTTATGTATTTATGTATTTGGATTGAAGTACTGTTTCATTCTCAAGGGAAGAAATAAACCAAGTCTATGTTTCATAATGAATTATAACATGTATAATGTTAGAACTGCTGTTTTTTATTTTTTATTTTTTTCTTTTTTCTTATAGTGGGTTTCTGGTTAAATTTGATTTTAATTTGTTTAATTAGTTGAGATGACTTCAATGATGACCTAAACTTGGAAAAGATAATAAAGTGCCTAAGGAACAAATTTCTTGGTTTACATATCAAAAGAAACAAATAGGGATGAAAATGGAGTGAATATCCATAAAATTTGCACTATCTATGCGCAAATCCATCTCAAAAGTTCTTTTGAAGATTCTCATTTCTAAATCTGTTTGAAACCCATTCTATTAAGAAAAAAATTTAAAAAAAATAAAGTCATTATAACGGTATTATCAACATATGAATTAAAAATTCATTCATAAATTAAAATTCATTATAATATCTTTAATGTATAAAGTAAAACTTCATCATTAAATATCACCATAATCTTATAATTCTTCTCCTATGATATCGACTTAAATTTTCAAAATCCATAAATAAGACAAACTCAAAAAACGAAATCTTCCTTCCCCTTCACACTTTTCTTTCTGCTCTCTCATTTTTCTTCGAGTACAATTGAACTTTCTTAATCATGACTTAACCAAAACGAACAAAATACTTCACTTTTAATTATTGATTTAATGTTTATTTCTGGTTGAAACCCATCATGAGAAAGGCCACACCACGACCAATAAAGCCAACCTAATTAAAGTCATCATCCATCACTTTCTCCTCTCCTCTCCTGGATCTTTCTTGATATACTAATTAAAAACTTTAAAGTATTTTTAAGTATTTTCGATCCTTTTTCAAAACATCCAGGCACAAATAATTGTAATTTTCTTTTACCAGTTCATGAATTATACCTAACTATTTCTTGTCAATCACAAAAACACCCAAAAACAGTGTAACGGTTTTAAAGAAGAAAAAATTGAGGATTATCCTCAAAACTTGCAATGTATGAATCAAAAAAAAAAAAAAAAAAAAATTTGCAATGTAAGGATCAAAAAAAAAAAAAAAAAAAAAAAATCCATATATAAGCAAAAAAAAAAAAAAAAAAAAAATCCATATAAAGCATTCGTTATCCCAACATGCAAATCCAAAATACAAACTAATCGATGAAACAGTGTTACCATTATTCGTATCATTATATAAATTCAACAGTTACCTACAAAACACAAACTGCCAATTTTAACTTTTGTTAATACAGGTGTATAAATTCTCTTATTTAATTTGAAATGTGGTAGGTTAAAATAGAAGGGCCAAAGTTTCTATAACATAAAGAGTACAATCCAAGAGAGAAGAAGAATGCTTCAACCAAATCTAAAATACCAAATGCAAATTTCCTCATTCAAATCTTCTAAATGCAGTAACTCCTTGATAAGGACGCGGCATGCCATCACGGATCACCTATGAATTAAAACTTTCATCGCTCTTTTATGTCTAGAGTTATATATAACAGCAACGATAATACCTATGCCAATAAAGCATCTGTTTTTGCCCTCTCAACGGATAATAAAATCAAGGCAGGCTAAAGATCCCAAATGGAAACAATCACCTGATATACTTCGCCAATGTTAACAGTCATCTAGTAGTAAGGCATGTATCGCATTGGCCTTCTAAACCTAGGAACCTTCCTGCAACCATTTGAGGCAGCAGAACATTAAAAAAGTGATGCAATGAATAATAAATGAACAGTCACACCGAAACGAGAAGTGTGGGAAAAAACATACCCATATCCATAAGGGGAGTAGAAATAAGGGGGAGCATATGGCCTCCTAAACCGGTAACCAATGTAAGGATTGAACCGCCTAGGGCGATATTGTTTCATCCCAGGAACATTGGTCCTTTTGGGCAAAACCTGAAAGCATATCATGTATGAAAAAAACAATAATTATAAATTAAAAAGCAAAATAATATATTTCAATCCAACCCCCAATTGATAAGCTTTTCAATTTATTCAATAAAGGAATAAAGACTCACCTTCAATTGACGTCCATGTAGCTCAGATTCATTCAGGAGCAACGCCTCCTGTATGGCTTCTACTTCGAGAAATTCCACATAAGCAAAACCCTTGGGCTGACCAAACTTGTCTGTCAGAATAGTAACCCTATTTACTGTACCACAGGACTGAAAGTGCTGCTGCACTTCTTCAGGTGTGCATGCATAATCAACCTACAGGACGAAATTCAATGCAAGGTTTGCATACCAAGTTGCATCAGCAATACTTACATGAATACAAATACAAAAAATTTCCATGCAAGTATAGATATTCCATGTGCTATCATTTTTCACATATAATTTTTCAATGCTACATGCATGATACAATTCACAAGACTCATGGTCATGCAAACAAAGAATATAGATTTAGTAAAATCAAAAAATTAAAATGGCATTGAGTGAAGAAATAGTTTGTCTATTATTACTTTGTTAAAACAAGCAATAGAGTGTCCTATGTTTTGTTCATGCTAAATATTTCACTCTGATCCAGCACGTTCAACATTTTTGCACTAATAACTTTTATTTAAGATATCTATGAGTTCATAATTCAAATTTTGAACTGCAGATTAGCCTCACAACTATTTTCAAATCTTTTTGGGTGATGATTTGAAAATTAAACAACATCTAGCAATTTTCAAATAATCACTCAAGGGAGCATAACAGCAAATAAATCTACCAAACCATCTTGTCAGAGTCCATGCATCAAACTTTTACTCTCTAAAGCGTCACTCATTCTTATCCCCAAATCCATAAATTCAAACACAAATTTACAAAGTAGCAAGATATCTATTTTCATACACCAAATCATACCACCACCATTCCTTTTTTCAAGCAGCTCATCTTTACTTTGAGCATTTTTCCTCTGACCAATATAAGCACTTTTCTCTTCCTTGCCCAACCTCTTCTTACTCTTTTCTTGAGAGAGAAAAAAAAGCATCACTGTGTTTCACCCTTCACTGAATAAACCAGACAGTTACACTGTTGCTTTAATGCTTCTCCTTCCGCATAACAATACAATTACAGCCACTGAAATTCTGTAGTTCACTGCAAAAACTAGTGATAATCACAACTCATCAAACAAAGCCTTAATTAACCATTTAGGATGAGCCCCTGTCCATATGTTTTATCTATGGGCTGCATTCTTTTAGACAAGTAGTGATCCTCTGTTGATTTCTATTCCACCTTCAAGGGCTGGAAACTGGCTAAATAGTGCCTCATTCAAAGCTTACAGCAAATATTAGCAAACAATTCCAACAATTGCTTGACGAATCCACGTCTTTTCATGATAAATAAAGACTGAGTAAAAACAACTTATTAAACACATAAATATACTTTTGTAGAAAAAATTGCAACACAAAAAAGTTCTGAAACTCTAAATTTAGTACGAATAACAAAGCTTCCCATAGAAAAGAGCTTTTGTAATAAAACACCAATAGTAATAGGAAGTTAAGACATCTAAAATGTCATTGATAAACAGATAGCACATGAAATCATTTATAGTAGCTCTTATGATTGAAGAAAATTCCAGCCGATTCAACTGAAAAGTTCATCAATAATTTTAGTGCTTCCAACTCATAATAATAAGAGCTAATTAACTGATATGTAGAAAATGCTTTTAGAGAACAAAACAGACAACACAAGGTGCATGACATTTTGTATTCACAAAATTGTCATAGCTTGAAATATTTACAATTTTCGAAGAGCTGTTTTTCTTCAGTTCAAATAACACAATAATTCATGTTGCAACATCTTATGATATTATTAAGACTTTAGCGAAAAGATGACATTTTGTATTCACAAAATTGTCATAGCTTGAAATATTTACAATTTTCGAAGAGCTGTTTTTCTTCAGTTCAAATAACACAATAATTCATGTTGCAACATCTTATGATATTATTAAGACTTTAGCGAAAAGAAAAACGTAACGAAGAAGTGCCCATAGGGAACAATAGAATCAAACAAGTAAAAACAAGCTGGTTTGCATTTTAAGAACTCATTGTAAGTTCACTTGTAAAGAGTAAATGCATATTTACCAAATATTGCTGATATTTTGGATAAAAAATAAGTAGTAGACAAGAGATTATGACACCACAAAGAAGCAACAATCTTACACCCTTCACCACATTTGCCCAACGATCACACATTTCAGAAGCACCAACCAACACCAGCAGTGACGAGGCTCTGCAGTCTGTAACTTAGATTGCCTGTCCTGACTTTCCTCTGCTCTTCAATAGGAATAACTTCCGTTCTCACATACCATGGTTGAAGCATCTCAATTTACATACCATCTCGTGCATTCCAGCAACCTCCAATAAGCCTCTTGTTGGCTTTCATACAACAACACAGCTTTGCGTTATTTTCTTATTACACTTTGCTTTTCCTCTCTCTTACCTTTCATTTTTCCTTTTCCTTTTTTTTCAATATCTTTCTTTTATTTTTCCATTTCTTTTCCATTTCTTTTGTATAGTTTTTTTTTTCTTTTCTTCTTTTCTTTTTTTTCCCTCTCCAAATGTTCTTTCATTCCTTTTCTTTTCCTCTTTTTTATTTTTTTTTTGTCCAGTAGATTCATCATATTATCCCCTCATTTTTCAACTAATATGTTTTCATTTTCATTTCTTTTCACTATTAGCATGCAGGAATTTTTAATCTCTCTCTAAATACAAGCTTATTTAAAGCAAAAAATGACTTTGGCCCACCCCCAAAAGACAGTACTACTATTCCAGCGCTAACAAACAGAGAACCTGAAGAATAAGGAGAACCCTGCGATCATAGTAAGACATAAAGTCAAACCATGATTCTGAATGATAAGAATCCAAATCAACAGAAAAGGCAAGGAAATTAGTGTAAATAATGTTTTCAAATGATAAACAAAGCCCATGAGCAAAGCCTTAAACTCAAAACCGAGGTCTACATACGATACAAAACTTGTAATAGATTGCTCACCAGAAGGGAGCCAGAAGTTTGAAGCAGGGATGACTTTCCCTTTTTTTTTCCCCTTTCCCTATTTGTCGTGCATGGGGAGAATTTGGTACATTGTTCTATTATTGAACACAGCACTAATAAATCTTACAACAGCTAAAGTTCATAGCCTCACCCTTATATCTATATTCATCATATGTAATCCTCCATTACCAATTCATCAATTCAGAGTTGGTTAATGGTTGAGAATATCCTTGACTTGAAAAAGACAAAAACATATTCAGATTTAAAAGAGGCCAGTAAAATCATTTTAGGTCTGAAATATTAAATTATTAAGTAGAGATTAATAGCAATTGGTAAGAACCTATACCAAGCAACTGTATGGTTTTCCGTGGGGCTCCATCCCACTTTGTTAATATGAATAGAAATATATAAGACAAGATTGGAGCAATGCCTGTTCTTCAACAAATGAAAAGTTTAAGAACTTATGAGCCACTTTGCAAATGATCATTTAACTCATCTCCATAATTTACTTGCTCAATGCCAGTGAATTGTTTTATAGGAATGTTTTATATAATCACTAAGAAAAAATTTCAAGAGGTTAGAATCTATATGAGCCGCTTTGCAATTTGCCTTCTTTTCCATGGCTTTCAAAAGCATAAAATGGTGCATTGACAACACATAACCAGACCGGCAAAAAGCAACCTGAAATCATATACTCCTATCAAATGATTTCCAACATGGATGATGATCAAGGAGTCTATTACAAACCCCTACACTTTAGTACCAGATATCAATAACCTACAACCCATCTGTTCTTTTTTCTTCCATGGGAATGTGCGTGTGCATGTGCCTGATCCTGATTTTCCTATAAATCGATACAACCTGGAAGCTGTGCCTCCCACATACATGAGTATTCTACCTACATAACTTATAGTGATGGATGGAAGAGGGATAGTAATTCAGGCACAATGAACCAATGACCGTGTTTAAGGTTAGGTAAAGAAAGCAAACTTAGGGAGCAAATTAAAACTCACAAAACCAGCTAAGATATCATATTCAAAAGAAAATCATTGATGACTGATGCAAAAATGGCAGAACTAGTTTCCTAAATTAGCCAGGGAAAAACAAAAAGTTGCAAGCATTACAGAGAAAAGAAATTTGATTGGGGGCTAAAAAAACAGAGTACCATGCAACTATAAGAGCACAGCTAGACATTAAAACAAGCTTACTGGAAAATAACATTGGTAAAAAAGGCGGGTAACCAAACAGAGGAAAATTTTCTCACATTGCCAACAAACACAGAACGAGAATCCGCTTCCTCTCTATTGGCTTGGTTAACAGCTGCACTAGCTGGATCTGTATACAGACGACGCAGCAAAGCAACAAATATAAGTTTTACACTTCCAAACAAGCAAAAACTGAAATAAGAGATCAGCTATAGACGACAAGAAGAAATTTGAAGAAAGAATTACATATTTGACATCAACAAACTTGTATACTCAACAATCAAAAGCAGCAGGAACAACCAAAATAACCAATTAATAAGACTATGTTTGCCTATCAAAATTCCGAGTAATCAAATAAGGACAGACAAGTAGATCGAAATTCCTCTACAAATTGGGGGGAAAAAACTTGTAGCAAAAGACGATAAAAAAGAAGTCAACACCTTGAACAGCACCCATCTCCTTCTCTACTTTAGCTTGCATCTCACGAAGAGCCGCCGCTTCTTCCTCCATCTCCTTCAACCTCTTCTTCATCTCATCCAATTCCTACATCATTGTCGAACAGACATGAATCATTAAGGAATTATATGCAAGTGATATATTTAAATGCGTTTTAGCTACAGAATCCCCAAGATCGATTAAATCAATCACTAGGGTTCTTATTATTTCTACAACTGAAATCGAAAGAGAGAGACAGAAAGAAAAACCTTGACGGCGTCGTCATCGGCGGCCGCCATATCTACGTCGGCGTTGTGAGGATCCATGTCGCCTTCCACGTCGGGAATCTCTCCACCGTACACCTCATGCTCCTCTTCCTCCATGTCTCTCTTTCTCCTGATGTTTCTACAAGGTGGAAGATTAGTTTCAGTTCGGGATATTCAGTTTACGTGGTTTGGGACACCATAGCCCTATAAGAAAGGAGAATTGAATGAGTCATACGCTGTCGTTGCGTCCGATGGAAACAAAAAACGTCGTAGTTTGCTAGGTCCCTTGCTATGAAGTCCATATTCCACAACACTCGAGACTTCCCAACGGTTAGGCTAAAATCTTAGTTCTGAACTTGCCTATACGCGTTTGAAAACAAATTAAAATAGAAATTTTTTTTAATAAATTTTTCATTTTTATCTCTTTTTTCTCTGAGAATAATAGAAGTATCTCATTTGAATAAAAAGATATTTTTCGTTAATTTAATTTTTGAATAAATCCATAAATTAAATTTATAGATTTAATTTAGACGAGTCAGTCCCAAAATCTTATGGCTAAAAAATTATTATCAACTTTAGAGTGCTAAACTTGGTTTGGAAAGAGAAAAAGAGAAATAATAAAAGAAAATAATAAGAAAATTTCAATTTTCTTTTCAGCTATTTCGATATAATAAAGAAAAGAAAAAAAGAAAAGAAAATTTATTTTCCTTTACAAAGAACAAAATTATAAAACATTGAAAGTTGACTTTTTTTTAACAAAAAAATTATTAAAAATTGACAATTATGATATATAAATAATGAGTATTTAAGAAAGAATTAAAATTTATTATTTAATTTGGGTATTCAAGTAATTTAATAAAAATTACTCTTTTTTTTTTCTTCATAATTTTCTCCAAAATTAGATAAATATAAAACATATGGTCTCTAGTGATAAATAAGTGAAATTTTACTCCATTCAATATTTTCCTCTTATTTTCCAAGCAGAGGAAAATAAATTTCTTTAGATATTTTTCATAATTAGTTCCCTCCATACAAAAAAACTATTCTTATCGAAAAGTTTAGAGACTTTGAGAAACCTATCATATTATTTGAATTGTAATTTTTAATAATAACCTTATACTTTGAAAAGTTTAGAGACTTTGAGAAACCTATCATATTATTTGAATTGTAATTTTTAATAATAACCTTATACTTTAGCATAGACGGATCTAAATTTTTAATAACGAATTTTTAAAGACCTATCATGCTTTTATATTTATCTATAGCAAAGAACTATAACTCAAAAGGATGATGGATGCTTAAAAAACTCTAAAGCATGGGGTATAAAACTTTAAAGTTAAAGGACATTCATGCATAGGCCAAATCTTATATTCATCTTCCGTTACAGTAACACAATCACTTTCAACATAGAAGAAAGCCAACACAAAAAAAGTAGGTGGTTATTATTCAGATAGCAATTCATCTCTTTCCTATTTTTCTCTTATCCAATTGAAAGAATTTGTATTAAATTCTATAATTTTTCCATTTCAAATTACCTCAATACCCTTTTACTCCCTCCGTCTAAAAATAAGCCTCATATTTGCGAAAGAATCATGTCCACAAATAAGTATCACGTTTGTGCATTTTAGAAATAATATTTTTTTTTTCGTTTTTACCATTTTAATTATTGTAATTTCCAAAAATCTCTCTCTTTTTGTTATAAATAAGGATAATATAGTCAATTTACTCAAATTTATTATAAATTAGACAAATTAAATGGCTTTCTTAATGGCTTTCTTAAGGGATAAGAAAAGTGCAAATATGACACTTATTTGTAGATAGAAGGAGTAATTTTCTCAAATCCTAACATTTCTTTTGGTGTTAGTAGGATTCAATAAATAAGTGTAAAAATTAAAAAATGTAATGAATTCTTTTTTGAATTCTAAAAAATGACATTTATAGTGAAACCAGAAAAACTTGAAATGCATTGGATGAAGTGTTATTTATGTGTGGATCTAATACACGAATTTACATATTGCACTCATGGTCCAATCTAATCTGTAAATTAAAACATGATTGACTCAATTCAAGTTATTATTATTTTTAAATCCATTAGATTGAATCAGACCGAGTCTGGTTATAACAAATTGTATATAACTACTCATGATCTATCTAAATTCACATTTATTCTAAAATTTCAACGATTCAAATCCATAACAGATTAATCCCAATCAAAAATAAAAAATCTTTAACCTAATATAAATTAATAAAAATATAAAATGGTCAGAAGCAGATTGAAAGCTAAGCAGTGATAATTCAAAATTTTTATTTCAAAGTTACTTTTTAATATAAAAAGAAAATCAATATTATAATATCACAACGAATTATACATTTTGCAACAACTTATTTATATTATTATACAATCAACTTGATTTAATTTTTATTATTCATTTTCTCCTGTATACAATCAACTTGATTTAATTTTTATTATTCATTTTCTCCTGTTGCATATTCATAAATTATATACACTACTAAGATGACCTGAAACTAACTTCGAAATGAAATTAGTCTTGTACAAAGAGCGTGAAAATACTAAAAAAAAAAAAAAAAAAAAGGAAACCCTATTAGTATTCTTAGAGATCTATCTCCACTGTCAAGAACGAGCACTAACAAAAGCTTTGATGATAGGCTTAAGCTTCTCAACTAATTTTATGATGATACCCCAACATAAGACGATAAAGAATCACCATTCCAAAGTAAAATAGTAAGATCAATCCATTTCGAGTAACCCATTTCTACTTGCCAAAAGCTTTGTCAAAATTTCCTTCTCCACTACAGTAGCTGGCCGCCACTTTATCAGTTTTAAGGAAATGTCAATCTTCAAATTCATTCTTAATAAAATCCTTGATTTGCATACTTGAACAATGCAATATAGTAAACTTGGATATCCTCCAGAAAAGGCTTAGGAAAGATCCTTCAGGTACCGAAAGACCTCCATTTAACATCAATCACTCTTGAATTCCCAGCGCCTGTTATAATCCCCATCAAGAAATCTGGGTACTATACTCGCAACCATCATTCATCAGCTTTCGAACGAGCATCATGGCAATTATGAGAAGTAATAATGTGAAAGTAGACAAAGTGATCTTGCACTTCTGAAGACCAACCAAGTAATAAGCTATAGCTCCAGGGATTAAGGAGATCATAAATAGATATGGAAGGGAAGAAATGTATTTCCAATGACGAAGCACCACACCATAATGCCGTTTAATCTTTCCTCGTCCAAATATTGGGTTTTTAGTAAAGAAAAAAAATCAAATCATAATTGCTTGGCCCGCGCGGAAGCCAGCGCGCGAAGCCAGGATTTAAATTTGAGGTGGAGAAATGAGAATTACCTTCATATCTTCGACAAAAGAAGGGAATCCACCAATTGCCATGAAAGTCAAGAATGCAGCAACGAACATAAGCATTGAGCCTCTAGCCTGAAAATTCAGTACAGTAGTCGATATAATTAAAACTATGATGCTCTTGAATTTGAACCATCAAGCAGTTATGTAATATGTAATATATACCTGAATTGAACCATATGTGAAGCCTATATCATGGAAGATTGTCCCTACACATAGACACAGTGCAATATAGATTGCAAGGCGAAGCCAATAATAGCCTAAGTCACGATACATGTTAATGAAGGACCTCTTCGTAAGAACAACGCATTGTGTAATGAAGCTTGCTTGGCTTCCTTTCTTCCCCAATATTTCTCCATTCTTCAATACCAAGAAAATAGAATATTAAGTGAAGTTTTATGTCATTAAATCCCTTTTGAACACGATTTTTCAACCATTTAAATTGACAGCTCTATATATTCATCAATATGTGTGTGTGTGTACCTTTTTCGATATATAAGCCACTTGGTGTTGAACATCCTGGTAAATCTCTGATGATTTATATGACTTGATAAGCGTATTAATAACATCCTCTGTGCTTCTGCAACCGCCAGGCCCTTGTTCAATGTCCTTATCATAAATATAAAAATTTAGTTAAATATAAGTTTTTTCTAAATGACGGAGAGGACTTGAACCAGGGTTTTTACATTTGCACTCTTAGGCTAAACCTATATGACTACATATCAATTGTTTATGTGAAATGAAGAGGATAATATTCAAGAGGAGAATATTCCATATATTTGTGCTGTTTATCTGAAATTAAAATTTATTTACCACATCGAAGTCCTTGTTTATGGTCCTAAGGTAGTGATCTGATGGATTCCTGAGAGTAGGGCAAGGGAAGCCATTTGAGGAGAAAAACTGCAACAAAATGAAATTTTATATAATTAATTAATTAAAAATTTTATATAATTAATTAATTAATTTCTTGAAAAAACAAAACTATATCCTTTAAAAAAAAAAATCAAAACTATATATATAGTACCTGTTCTGCCATTGTAACGGGACCAAAATAGACTGTCCTACCAGAAGACAGCAAGCAAAGATTATGAAATAGCTCAAAAACCTCAGTACTAGGTTGATGGATCGATGCAATAACGGTCTTTCCATCTTGCTTAGCAATTTTTACAATACGGTTCATGACATGATAAGAATGACATGATAAGAGGCTGCACTATCAAGTCCACTCGTTGGCTCATCAAGAAACAGAAGCTTCGGGCGAGTCAAGATTTCAATGCAAATGCTAACTCTTCTCTTTTGTCCACCACTAAGGCCTTTTGAGCTCCAACCTCCAATTCTAGTGTTAACTGAGTCTTGTAAACCCATTTCTCTTATTGTCGTTTCAGCCCTTTCCTTCTTTTCACATTTTGACATGGAATTTGGTAGTTGAAGCTGTGCTGAGTAATATACAGCCTCTTTTACTGTTAACGTTGACATTAGAGTGTCGTCTTGAGTCACGTATGCCTGAACGATCACAAACCAGAGTTACGAAGCACCAGTAAATATTAGTATATTTATTTGGTTAATTTAGTTTAGACTTAAAGTTTAAACTCGAGACTTTTCAGCTTAAAAGTTGACGCTGGTAATCAATAATTATAAAGTAAAAATTTATTTAAACCCAGTTCATGGTCCCATTTATAAATCAAACCAAATAACTCAAATTAAAAATTCTTATTAAAACGAGGTATTTCTTCGAGAGCGGAGTGCACATATTATACATTTATCAACTGTGATGATAAAATTAAAAAAAAAAAAATCAAGTCCAATTATTTAAAAGTTGCAATTAAACTTAATATGAAAGCAGCCGTTGTCCATTATCTATATGTATATATACCTGTATTCATATACTTATAAAGAGCCACTCAAAAACATGTTTGAATTTAGCAGAATTGGTAGAAAAATACTGACAGAAAAGGGTATATATAAAATTGCAAAATCTCGAAACAACGTTGTTCTCGTTATCAAAAAGAGTAAAAACAAATGGAAGTATATAGTTCATATAATATTATATATAGTTCATATAATATTATTAACTCCAGGCCCATTCAATCAACTTCATACTTCTTCTTTTCTGAGAGTCAAAATTAAGGACTGGATGTATTTTTTTGACGTTTATTTTAAAAATTGTGATTTGCCAGCTAAAAACATTATTTTTTCAATATGCTGGAATAATATTTTTAAATTTTAAATATTTGAGTAATTTTTCTTACCGATGTTCCAAAGGCAAGGGTCTCCTGACGACCATTGACTAGGATTTTCCCACTCTGTTTTACATTTGAGGTTAACCTCCCTGCAATAAGTTCTCCTCATTAGCTTCTAAACCGGCAACAATAAAATAACATTAGTAGTACGTAACAAAAACTAATTAATTGTAAATGACAAAAAAAGTACTTCCACCAGTTATAAACAAATATATAATCTTTTTTCTTTTCTAATTTATATATATGAATAGAATCTTAGTTTGAACGTGTATATATATCAAAATATGAAAAAAAGAATCAGATATATATATATATATATATATATATATAAAGAAATGAGCATTAACATAACCCGCCAATGCATCGAAAGAGTTGATTTTCCACAACCTGAAGGTCCCCTGAAGGTCCCATAATAGCCAACACCTCTCCTGGCTGAGCATATCCAGTTAAACCTTGCAAAATTGGCCGGCGGACATTTCTCCGGTCACCTGCTACCGTAACCCACAAATCGTTCCATGTCAAGAAAATACCCTTTTGCTGAATATCTCCTTTTAAGTTCCCAACAGCCGGTTCCATCTCAATACTTAGAGATGGTGGCTTGTAACTTTTACACTTAAAACTAAATGGAAATATTGATTCCTCGTTAAGTGAATGATTGCAGTCTTCATCTTCCTCAGGATCTAACTTATCGTCTTCAATTCTCGCCGGGCTTGGATTTGGTGTCCATATGGGAATTGTAGTTTTAGAATCCATTTTGCTAGTAATACTTTTAGAGCAGAAGATGTTTTAGAGATATTGAGCTTTCAGGTCATGTTTTCAATATTTATAGCCTGCGAGTATTGGAAAGTAAAATGCAAGCTGGCCAAATTCTGTCAAATTTTTAAAATAATTTTAAATGAAAAAAATAAAGAAGCTGTTATAAGAGGGAGGGGACACCAAGGCTGCTAGATATCAAAGAGAAAATTCAAAACAAGAAAGGGGACACCTTGGCTGCTAGAGATCAAGCCAAATCTATAGGGAATATTGGAAACAAGACAAATAGGTAGGCGTGGCCAGTGCATTGGAGTGTTAGATTGAAATTTCCTAAATGTGGTCCTTCAACTGCGTGTTCGGATCTGATTTTAGTTCCATCTGCCTCTGGTTTAGATTTATTAACCAACCGTTTTGATTACGATTTTTTACGATACAATTATTTTTCTAAAAAAAAATAAAAATTTGATTCTAAAGTTATGTCTTTCTTTTGAAGAAAATAACGGGAATTTTAAAAAGTATTAGTAAATTTTTATTTTAAATGACTTTTAGAATACTCATATTCATTTAAGAACTAAAATTAATTAATTAATTTTAAAAAAAATACAAAATAATCAAATAAATTATCGTTTTATTTGTTTAAAAGTTATTCATTAAATAAATTGTTAGAAAATTTTGAAAAATGCTTCAATTAATATAATTTTGAACTGAGTAAAAAATTTGAAAGGAAAAAAAAATGTTAAACTCCCATTTGTATCGAACGATATAATTTTAGATTAAATGCTTCACTTTTTTTACCATTTTATTTTTTAGATTTTTAAATTTGTAAGTAAAATGTATTTTAAAAATTTTTTTGAATAAAGTGTATTGTGTAGTAAAAAATTATTAAGACTTTTGGGTTGTATAAAATAGACTAAGTGATTATAAAATTTGAAAATAAAAATAGAAAATTTTTTTTTTCAACCAGATTGTAACTGTCTGAAATAACCCGAATTTTTATTTTTAAAGATTTTACCTTTAAATTTAATAAACTGACAGCGTGGAAAATGTATGTAAATATTTAAATGCAAATTAATAAGTTGTACAATGATAAACCGAACTGAAAACCAGCTGAAAAATCGAAAACCAAATGGAAATCGAGATTTGGGCTGAATCGAATCGGAATCGGACCGAATCAACCCGAACCATCTAGAAACTCTTTCTTTTTATCTCTTGCGCCTAACCCATTTTCCCACACCCACCCTTTACTCTGCGCCTCCAGCCACCCACCGGTACTGCCACCACCGCGCCACCTCCTCCTCCCTCTCTTCTTCTTCTTCTTCTTTTCTTTTCTTTTCTTTCTTTTTCTTTCCTTTTCTTTCCTCTCTTGCGCTTGCGTCTGAGTCCGTTCTGCACTGTGACTGGCGATTCTTTCCTTTTCTTTCCTCTCTTGCGCTTGCGTCTGAGTCCGTTCTGCACTGTGACTGGCGAAGCCTGAAGCAGCAGCGGCGACACCAGCTAGGCCGGACTTCCTCGCGCGCCACCTTGTTGCAGTTCGACGTCGCAGCAGCTCCGCCAGTGGTTCTACTTCATCCTCGGCCAGATCGCGCGGCGCCACCTCCACCAGATCGCATCACCGCCTTGATCTGTCGCGCCACTGCCTGCAATCGCTCTAGCGTGCCTCCGACCACCAGAGATGGGTCTGATCTGTCGCCGCCTCCGCCTCTCTGCCACTGCCAGTCGGATTCCTCTGCCTGCAGTTCCAGTGCGCATCCAGCACGCGTAAATTCCCGATCTAGCGAAATTCGATAAGAAAAAAAAAATTATATTTGGGTATGAATCAATTTTTGCTAATTCTCAGAAATTAATAAATTTTGGTCAATTAATTTTAGTAATCTCAGTTAAATTAATTTTAATAATTTTGGGTTAATTAATTTAATTTAAATTAGATATTGATTAATCAAAAACATTTGGTTAGTTAAAATTAAATTCAGTATTAAATAAATTATTAGAAAAATTTTGATAACAATCAATTTGTGGAATTGAATAAAAATAAACAAATAAGATATTGTTGCTGTGGAAACTATGGAGGATGGGAATAAATGACTGGATTGATTGCCCGATTGATGGGCTGAGTTAATTGTTGGTTAGTTAAATTTTAGAGGAGGTGCCGCTGAAATTTCGATAGGAATTAGATTATTTTTAGAACTTTAATATGTAGTACGACTACGATTATTATCGTTAGTAATATTATATTATCAATCATATTATTCTTATTAATATAATAATATTACTAATATTATCGTTATTATGGAACATTAAATTACTAACGACACATATGAAAGAGATAAACAAATAAACCAATAAATAAGAGTACCGAATTTATATAGTTTAATAAATTAAATATTGACTTTAATTATTTAGCGAATGAGGATTTAATTTCTTGAATTATAATTTTTCTTTAAATTTTCCTTCTAGATGCTTACGAAGTTCCAGAACATCAAAACAAAAGTCGAGAGCGGCAGTAATAAAGATAGTCCTTTAAAGGACAATAAAGAACTGTGAGTAGTGTTAGATAATTCGCCTCATTCGTTTGCATTCATGCATTCACGGCTAAATGTTCGCCTTCATGCGTTTGCATTCAGCATTCACGGCTAAATGTAAATGTTATCATGCATTATTGCTATATTGTGATGCACTATTTGTTGATATTAAATATTGCTTGATTATCTGTGAATGTGATATTGTTGTGCCTTGTTTGTGTGGGATTGGGATGAAGTGGGTCACCATGGGTTTATGAGACTGTTACTGTTATATGGATCCTGATACTGATTACTGTTAGTCGGGTAAATGGGAGATCGACGCCCCCGTGTGCACCTACTGTTACTGTTACTGTTAACCACAGGTTCGCTTCTTTATTTGGGCGCACCGGATAATCTAGGTTTGATCGCAGCCCCCCAGGGTGGCCTCCTGTTGTGAGCGCCTGATGATCTAGATTTGATGGAGACGACCGGGTTGCCTCTTGTTGGTATAAAAAAAAAAAAAAAAAAAAAAAAAAAGAGAAATGGAAAACAATGAGAGGGCTGGTCAAGTGAGGATGGAGACCGGTCGGCCAGAAAGGGGATCGCTCCCTGGTTGCACGACGTTGAGAGGATGGGCCATGGGAGGGACGGCTCATCGGGGTTTCGTGACTCTACTGACTATTTCACGTTTGTGATATGATTATATGAAGGTGGATATGATTATATGAAGGTGATAATAATTGTGATTGCTGTTGTATTGCCATTTGTGTGACCAACTGTATGTTCATAAAATTAATCGGCGACCAGGTAAACATATTTTTAACATCTGTGTGATTGTGTGGGGTGAGAGGGTTATCTAACCCTACTCATTGAGTTTGGCGCTCACCCCTGCCTACCTATTTTTTTTTTTCACGTAATAGAAGAAAAATCCTATGGAGTTGAGACATTAATTATAAAAGACTTTAATGATAGAAATGACGATGTAAATGTAAAGGTAGAGTTCCGCAATTGTATTCCAGTTGGGTTGTAAATGAATAATTAAAGTCCATATTAAATATATTGGGTTGTAAATGAATAATTAAAGTCCATATTAAATATACTAACTGTATTGGTGATACATAATTGAAATAAATTATTGGGCCTGCATCCACAGTTATGAATAGGAAATGAAGTTTGCATAATCTAGGCTTACTACGGGCTTCAGGGGCCTTAAGCCCATCCAGGTCTTAGTGCCGGTCCGGTCCATGGAAATGGGTCGTGACACCGTCATTAACCTCTGATTCTTAGCCGGTTCAAATTCATAGTGTAACATTCATATGAATCTTAGTTGGTTCCAGTTTAAAACTTTGAACCGATAATTTCAGTCTGATTTCAATTCATCTAAATATGATTTGATTTCAGTTCGATTACAATTTGAACCAAACCAGTGGTAGTGCCTACAAGTAGCTTTCCCACTTGTTTGGCAAATTGGATTCTAAAATTTATTGGGTGGTCCAATCTATCAACCCTTATTGGAAAATTATTGCGTGCTGCAATCTATCAACCCTATTGGATAATTGACAACAATAGCTTTCACCGCATTAAAAATTGCTTGTTAAATTTACAGAATAGTAAGAGTTATGGAATGTGATATTTTTATTTACTATTGTGTCCCAAAATATATTGGTTTAAGACTTTTGCATAATGATTAAGAAATCAATCAATTCTCTTAGATTATAAGAAAACCAAGGGTAATTTGACTAAATTATCCTTGATCTCTTAACTGCTAGTTACTTGTGAAAGTATTTATTGCATCTAATGTAAATAAGGGTAATATTGAAAAATATCATTTATTACTTTTTAAAATACTCAAAATAACTTATATTTTAGGACAAAATAATCACTCAAAAATGACTTATATTTTGAGGGAACATCATTATTATTTTGTCGCTGAGATTTGATGAAATTATTTAAGTAGTCATTACATTTTAGATGAATATCCAAAGCCTGCATCTGTCAATATAAATAGTTTCTCAGTTCAATTTTGAGGGGTTTTCCTATTAAGTCATAAAGAAAGGACGAAAATTACCTTGGACAATATGAAATCTACATACCCATCCTCTCCCTTTCCTTTCCTGTATCTTCTATCCCTTCAAAGAAAGCTAATTTTCCAATATTCAGAATGAGATTCAAAACCAACAAAATCAAAGGAGATTCAAAACCAACAAAATCAAAGAATTCGCCAGAAATTCAAAACCAACAAAATCAAAGGAATTCGCAGAAAATCAAAGGAATATATATTTACTTTATTTATTAAAGGAAAATACTGAATTAAGTCTAGCCAGAAGTCCAAAGCCATGAGTTGACAAACAAAAGAAATTTAATTTCCTCTCAAAAGAACGATATATATTGGACTACATTTTGTGTTTATTTCTTAAAATTCTAAGATTTTGGTTCCTCCGTTTTGAACTTCTATCTCATGGTTATGGTTTTACACCTTCTGTTTTTTTGGAGGTCAAATGCATATTCTGAACCTTGTACTTTTCCAAAAAAATCTTGTGGTCCCTTATACTTTATCGGGTCCTATAAGGTACCTCTATTTATTTTTTTTGTATTTAGTAGGTACCTCGCCACGCTGAAACTGTGTGTAAGTATCCACGAGAGTGTGAAGAGAATGAAAGTTTGTTTAATTGCCATGTTGTCACCTCTTTCCGTTCCTCCTCAGTAACCAACCCAAATTCTGATCGCTCAAAAAGGTAAAAAAAGAAGATATCGCAAGCGCAATCCAAGGAGAATTAAATTTAAGGCCACGCTAAATGGAAAACAGAAGCTTAGCAATAATTTTATTCCAATAAACTCCTCCAAGCTTTGAGTCAAGTTTGTCTGAGTCTCTCTTCACCTTCGGCACCTCGTCAAGGTTGGGCCGTTAGAGAAGTCGTTGATAGAGCCCTTGTTGTCGCTGCAAAGGGGAGAACAAGGTGGAGTCGAGCTATTTTAACTAGCTGAATCAAGCTCAAGTTCGAGAAGCAACACAAGAGGCAAAGAGTGGCAGCGACTATTGTTTCGGTGGCTGGTACAGGGAGTAGCCGATCGAAGAAGCCGAGAGTTAGTGTTTTGAGGTTGAAGGGAAGAGTTTACTAGCTGTGCAAAGGAAAGTGCGTGTTCTAGGCAGATTGGTTCCCGGTTGCCGGAAACAACCATTGCTGGTTATCCTAATCTTGAATAACATTAATAACTCATTTTCTGATTTTCTCGATTTTCTTGCCGGAAACAACCATTGCTGGTTATCCTAATCTTGAATAACATTAATAACTCATTTTCTGATTTTCTCGATTTTCGAGTTTAGCTTTCTTTTTCTAGTAGATCAAGTTCTGCTCTTCTAAATTAAAATGCTTTTAGGAAGCAAGAAGGTTTGTTCTTTCTTGCTCCCAATTTGATGGGTTTTGGAAGCAGAATAGGAAGACAGAAGAGGAGGGAGGAGGAGATGAAGTGTATGATGTGGCGTATGATGTGTTTCTCTCTCTCTCTGACATGTCATTATATTTTTGCCAGGCAAGGGAATTTGAGTTGCACTCGCTTCATTTGCCAGGGTATGTACCTATTAAATACGAAAAAAAATAAATAGAGGTACCTTATAGGAGCCTCGCAAATATAAAGGGCCACAAGATTTTTTTAAAAAAAATATAATGTCCAAAATATACATTTGGCCGTTTTTTAGGTTATCTCTTTTGGGAAATATGTTTTATTATCGATCTTACCGTAGAGGAACTTTGATTGTTTTCTCAAATGAGTATTATTCGCACAAGTATATAATTTTAATCAATAGGTTAATTTATAATTACTTATTTTTTATGACATATGTTGCATATTGTCGTTGTTTGTTATTTACTCATTGTTTATACTATTTCTTATATAATATTAAGTATTGGTTATAATCTTTCTTTTATATTGACAAGATTTTTATAATATCACTAGTCAAGTGCCACAGCGATGCGCGGATGGTAATATTTTTGTTATTATTCCTATTACTCTCCAATACTCACCTAAGTAATCAATAAAAAAAAAAAAAAAAAGATAAATAAAGTGTCTAAATTTCATTACGTTTTATTTTGAATTCAGAAAAAAATTTCATATTTATTTGTATTTATAGATCTAGCACTCTCCATAATAAAGCAAAAGGAATACTTGTTAATTATTTATTCTTTGAGTCTAAATCCAATTGCACCATATGTGAACCAATATATCAAGGGCATCGATTCTACCAAATGAGATAAATGATGATGAATAACTGATGCATTATGCATCGATTCTACCAAATGAGATAAATGATGATGAATAACTGATGCATTATAAAGATAAATAGATAGACAGTAGACATTCTAAATCTAAGCATTAAATTATGAGTTAAAAGTCAAATATGTATATTTTTTAAAAGGAACCTTAAAAAAAATACACACACAAATCATTGAGAATTAAGCTATACTCTATAGAGTCGATCAAATATATAGTAATACCCTAAATCCAAAAGAATAATTAATATTTTGCTGCTTATGTATTTACAAAAATTACAGATTATTGAACCATTTGACAAAGAATTTAAAAAAGAAAATAAACAAATCATAAAAAAAAATTATATTACATTATTGCAACAAAAAAAATTGCACTTTTAATTAATCTATGAATTTTCATTCGTGCGACTTTGGCTGCAATAAAAAAAAATAATCGTATAATATGTCTTATATAATAAATAAAAAATAAATTTATAAAAAAAATAAAAAAAAAGGAAAAGAGAGTGCAAAAAATAACAAAATACTATTTGTTAAAGAAAGAGGATTTAGAGCACATAAGCGTCCAACTATTTAAAACAGCAACATGAAAATAAATCAAAACTAATGAATATTTAAAACTTACTCTTTACTAAAGAAATGAGTTTTATTACTTTGCCTTCTCTATCATTAATTATTAATCTATATATTAATTGTTGGAATTGCAATGATTAGTGAGGAATGAACTCATGGTAGTGAGGTATTTGTATTTTTTTTTAATCATCATCGGTATCTCGATTCTATTAGTAGGGATTTCTTTAATTCGGTTCGAAGTTTAATCACAGTTTTCACCTTTCTCTAAAAGATGAGTTTAGATGGGTATTGCATATCTTTAATGCCATGGAAAGAAATAATTGATGCATAAATTGGTGCCCCTTTAAAAATGTATATTCTGGATTTTGGAAAGTCACGGGGGTGGAATTTTAGGAGTTGAGCAATGATATCTTAGGAGCCTGTCTTCATGCTTTCAATTATAAGGTTTTGATGCTTTAAGCTTACTTAATCAATCATCAATCTTATAATCTTTCATTTTGGAAACAAAAAATAGGCAGAGAAAAATAAATAATTAATTTGCAAAATATTGCCTTATTAGTTGTATTATTATTCCAAAAATTATTAATTTAATTGAATTAAAAAAAATCTCTTTTTATTTTCTTTTGTTTTTCCAAAAATTGTTTGAATTCTTGAATCTTTCCTTTCCTTTAAAAATTTCAATCTTGATTAATTAATTATTTTATTTTGTCTTTTTTTTTTCTATTGTTGTAGAATTAAATGTATTATTAACAAATTAAAAGATAAAAACCCTATAAAGCTTTTTCCTTTATTTTTTTTATGAAAAATATAGATTTAATTAAATTTTTTTTATTGAAAAATATAGATAATAAAATATTCTTTAATTTAATTAATTACATTTTATCTGAATTTTTCATTTTTTTATATATTCGATAAAATTAATTGTTTTAATAGATATCATATATTTAACTAAGATTTCATTGAATATTAAAAGGTGTAACATTTCATAATCCACTTCCTAAATACTAATATAAATCATAGATTACCAAACAATATAAACATTAGAGTTTTTAAAACGTTAAACGCTAAATTAAAAGTGGTTGCTAAAAATAACTAAAGAAAGTAAAATTTCATGATCATCTCCTTTATTAACGTATTTTCTCTATATAGTGATAGGAAGAATTACACTTATTAAGGTAATCATAGCAAGTGAAATGTTTTAATTCCAATGAATTAATATTCTTACTATTAATAAATTAGACAAATTAAATGGCTTTCTTAAGGGATTATAAAAGTGCAAATGTAACACTTATTTGTAGACGGTGACATAACAAATTGTATCTATCCAAATTCACATTTATTCTAAAATTCCAACGATTCAAATCCTAACAGATTAATCTGCCCAATCAAAAATAAAAAATCTTTAACCTAATATAAATTAATAAAAATATAAAATGGTCAAAGGCGAATTGAAAGCTAAGCAATGGTAATTCAAATTTTTTATTTCAAAGTTACTTTTTAATATAAAAAGAAAATCAATATTATAATATCACAACAAATTATACATTTTGCAACAACTTATTTATATTATTATACAATCAACTTAATTTAATTTTTATTATTCATTTTCTCCTGTTATTATTCATTTTTCTCCTGTTGCAATATTCATAAAATTATAATACACTAAACTAAGGTTGCCCCTGAAAACTAAGCTTGGAAATGAAATGGAAATTAGTCTCGTAGCAAAAAGTGGTGAAATACTTAAAAAAAAAAAAAAAAAACGGGAAACCTATTAGGAAACCCTATTAGTATTCTTAGAGATCTATCTCCACTGTCAAGAACGAGCACTAACAAAAGCTTTGATGATAGGCTTATGCTTCTCAACTAATTTTATGATACCCAAAAACATAAGACGATAAAGAATCACCATTCCAAATAAAATATTAAGATCAATCCATTTCGAGTAACCCATTTCTACTTGCCAAAAGCTTGTTAAAATTTCTTCACCACTAACAGTAGCTGGCCCGCCAACTTTATCATTAGGAAATGTCAATCCTTCAAACTCATTCTTATAAAATCCTTGATTTGCATACTTATGAAATGCAATATAGTACATTGGATATCTCCAGAAAGGCTTAGGAAGATCCTCAGGTAACCGAAAGAACCCTCCATTTAACATCATCACTCCTTGAATTCCAGCGCCTGTTATAATCCCCATCAAGAAATCTGGTACTATACTCGCAACAATCATCATCAAGCTCTCGACGAGTATCATGCATATGAAGAGTAATAATGCGAAGTAGACAAAGTGATCTATGCTCTTCTGAAGGCCAACCAAGTAATAAGCTATAGCTCCAGGGAAGCTATAGCTCCAGGGATTAAGGAGATCACTAAATAGATATGGAAAGGGAAGAAAAATGTAGGTTTCCAATGACGAAAGCACCAACACCAATAATGCCGCGTTTTAAATCTTTCTCGAATATCTGGTTTTTAGTAAAGAAAAAAAAAATCAAATCATAATGCTGGCGCGCGCGAAGCCAGGATTTAAATTTGAGGTGGAGAAATGAGAATTACCTTCATATCTTCGACAAAAGAAGGGAATCCACCAATTGCCATGAAAGTCAAGAATGCAGCAACGAACATAAGCATTGAGCCTCTAGCCTGAAAATTCAGTACAGTAGTGGATGTAATTAAAACTATGATGCTCTTGAATTTGAAGCATTAAGCAGTTATGTAATATGTAATATATACCTGAATTGAACCATATGTGAAGCCTATATCATGGAAGATTGTCCCTACACATAGACACAGTGCAATATAGATTGCAAGGCGAAGCCAGCAAGGCGAAGCAGTAATCAGCCTAAGTCACGATACAATGTTAATGAAGGGACATGTTAATGAAGGACCTCTTCGTAAGAACAACGCATTGTGTAATGAAGCTTGCTTGGCTTCCTTTCTTCCCCAATAGTTCTCCATTCTTCAATACCAAGAAAATAGAATATTAAGTGAAGTTTTATGTCATTAAATCCCTTTTGAACAGCATTTTTCAACCATTTAAATTGACAGCTCTATATATTCATAAATATGTGTGTGTGTGTGTACCTTTTTCGATATATGAGCCACTTGATGTTGAACATCCTGGTAAATCTCTGATGATTTATATGACTTGATAAGAATATTAATAACATCCTCTGTGCTTCTGGAACCGCGAAGCCCTTGTTCAATGTCCTTATCATAAATATAAAAATTTAGTTAAATGTAAGTTTTTTCTAAATGACGGAGAGGACTTGAACCAGGGTTTTTACATTTGCACTCTTAGGCTAAACCTATATTACTACATATCAATTGTTTATCTAAAATGAAGAGGATAATATTCAAGAGAAGAATATTCCATATATTTGTGTTGTTTATCTGAAATTAAAATTTATTTACCACATCGAAGTCCTTGTTTATGGTCCTAAGGTAGTGATCTGATGGGTTCCTGAGAGTAGGGCAAGGGAAGCCATTTGAGGAGAAAAACTGCAACGAAATGAAATTTTATATAATTAATTAATTAAAACTGCAACAAAATGAAATTTTATATAATTAATTAATTAATTTCTTGAAAAAACAAAACTATATCCTTTAAAAAAAAAAATCAAAACTATATATATAGTACCTGTTCTGCCATTGTAACGGGACCAAAATAGACTGTCCTACCAGAAGACAGCAAGCAAAGATTATGAAATAGCTCAAAAACCTCAGTACTAGGTTGATCTAGGTTGATGGATCGATGCAATAACGGTCCTTCCATCTTGCTTAGCAAGTTTTACAATACGGTTCATGACATGATAAGAGGCTGCGCTATCAAGTCCACTCGTTGGCTCATCAAGAAACAGAAGCTTCGGGCGAGTCAAGATTTCAATGCAAATGCTAACTCTTCTCTTTTGTCCACCACTAAGGCCTTTTGAGCTCCAACCTCCAATTCTAGTGTTAACTGAGTCTTGTAAACCCATTTCTCTTATTGTCGTTTCAGCCCTTTCCTTCTTTTCAGATTTTGACATGGAATTTGGTAGTTGAAGCTGTGCTGAGTAATATACAGCTTCTTTTACTGTTCAGGTTGACATTAGAGTGTCGTCTTGAGTAACGTATGCCTGAACCATCACAAACCAGAGTTACGAGGCACCAGTAAATATTAGTATATTTATTTGGTTAATTTAGTTTAGACTAAATATTAGTATATTTATTTGGTTAATTTAGTTTAGACATAAGTTTTAAACTCGAGACTTTTCAGCTTAAAATTGATACTGGTAATTAATAATTGTAAAGTAAAAATTTATCTAAACTCAGTTCATGGTTCCATTTATAAACCAAACCAAACTAATTAAATTAAAAATTCTTATTGAAATGAGGTATTTCTTAGAAAGCGGAGTACACATATTATACATTTATCACCCGTGATGATAAAATAAATAAATAAAAAATCAAGTCCAATTTTTTAAAAGTTGCAATTAAACTCAATAAGAAAGCAGCCGTTGTCCATTATCTATATGTGTTGTCCATTATCTATATAGTATATTTATTTCATAGGATTTATTTTCTACCGACTGCGTATCTATCTGTCTTGGACATGTTGGTTTCAATTTGCAGGGAAACCAAGAACTACTATCTATTTATCTGTTTTGATCGCAATGGTGATGGGGGCTTTACCTGTATTAATTACTTGAGTCTAATATGCATTTATTAAAATATTAAGGGGGTGAAGGTTACTTTTATTGCTTATAAAGAGCCACTCAAATTGTAAAACATGTTTTGGAATTTTAGCAGAAGATTGGTTAGAAAATACTGACCAGAAAAGGGTATATATAAAAATTGCAAAATCTCGAAAACGAGAGTTGTTCTTGTTATCAAAAGATGTGAAAAAAATTGGGAAAGGTATATAAGTTCAATATAATTATTATTAACTCAGGCCCTATTCCAATTCAATTTCATACTTCTATTTTTTTCTTAGAGTCAAAAATTAAGGACTGGATGTTATTTTTGACGTTTATATTAAAAAAATTTGTGATTTGGCCAGGCAAAATCATTTAGTTTTTTCAATATGCTGGAATAATATTTTTTTAAATTTAATTATTTGAGTAATTTTTCTAACCGATGTTTTCCAAAGGCAAGGGTCTTCTGGACGGACCATTGACTGAGGATTTTTCCCACTCTGTTTTACATTTGAGGTTAACCTCCCTGCAATAAGTTTTCTCCTCATTAAGCTCAAATTGGGCAACAAAAACAAAATAACATTAGTAGTACCGTAACAAAAAACTAATTAATTGTAAATGACAAAAAAAGTACTTTTCCACCGGGTTAATAAACAAATATTAATTCTTTTCTGTTTCTTCAATTTATTATATGAATACCAATCTTAGTTCGAACCGTGTATATTTATTTCAAAATATTGAAAAAAAGAATCAGCGTAACGTAATAATATATTATATATAATATATAAAGAAATGAGCATTACAATTACCGGCCAATGCATCGAGAAGAGTTGACTTTCCACAGCCTGAAATCGGTCCCATAATAGCCAACACCTTCTCCTGGCTGAGCATATCCAGGTTTAAACCTTGCAAATTGGCCGGCGGCCATTTCTCCGGTCACCTGCTACCGTAACCCACAAATCGCTCCATGTCAAGAAAATTACCCTTTTGGTGGAATAATCACCTTTTTAAGTTCCCAAACAAGCTGTTCCATTCTCAATACTTAGAGATGGTTGTTGGCTGTAACTATTTTACACTTTAAAACTAAAGGAAATATTGATTCTCGTTAAGTGAATTGATTTTTGCAGTCTTCATCTTCCTCAGGAGTTATGCTCTGTGCCTCTAACTTATCTCGTCTTCAATTCTCGCGGGCTTGGATTTGGCTCTTGTCCCATATGGGAAACTATAGTTTTTAGAATCCATCTCGCTAGTAATATTTTTAGAGCAGAAGATGTTTAGAGATATTGAGGCTTTTCAGCGGTCATTGTTTTCAATAATTATAGCCTGCGAGTATTGGAAAGTAAAATTGCAAGCTGGCCAAAATTTTCTGTTCAAGTTTAAAAAATTTAAAAACAAAAATAAAGATGCCGTTATAAGAGGGAGGGGACACCAAGGCCGCTAGATATTCTAAGTCAAAATTCCTATCTGGAAAATTTCAAAACAAGACAAATAGGTTGCATGGCCCGTGGCATGGAAGTGTAGATTCAAAAATTTTCCCCCCCAAAACGTGGTCCTTGAACTTCTTGTTCTGATTCTGATTCGGCTCCAGCGGCTGTGGTTAATATGAACGGACCGGTTCTGATTCACCAATTTCTGAACGATATAATTATTTTTTTAAAAAAATAAAAATTTAATTATTAAAATTTGTCCTTTTTTTGCAAAGTAACGGAAATTTTTAAAGAAAAAGTATTTGTAAATTTTATTTTTAATAATTTTTAAAATACTCATACTCATACTCATGTTAAGAACTAAAATTAATTGCATTAATTTTACAAAAAAAATACCAAAATTAATCAAATTAAATTATCATTTATTATTCTAAAAAAGTATTAATTAAATAAATTGGTTAGAAAATTTTGAAAAAAAATGCTTCGAACAGTGTAATTTTGAAATTGAGTTAAAAATATTTTAAAAGGGAAAAAAAAACATTAAACTTTCCCGTTTGTATCGAAAACAATATTAATTTTAAAAACTAAATTATTTCACTTTTTTTTTTACCATTTTACTTTTTTAGATTTTTAAATTTAGTAAGTAAAGTGTATTTAAAAAAAATTTGGTAAAGTGTATCGTGTAGTAAAAAATTATTAAGACTTTTAGCGTTTGTATAAAATTACGACTCAAGTAAATATAAATTTTGAAAATAAAATTAGAAAAATTTTTATTTCAACCAAATTGTAACCGTCGTTAACCTCTTGATTTCTTAGCGGGTTCAAATTACATATTGTAACATTCATATGAACTTTAGTTGGTTCCAAACTTTGAACTTGAGAATTTCAGTTCTGATTTCAATTCATCTAAGGTATGATTTGAATTTGGTTTGATTTTAATTTGAATCAAACCAGTGGTCATGCCTACAAATAGCTTTCCCAAACTTGTTTTGGGCAAATTATTTTTTTTTGATTCTAAAAATTTATTTGGGTGGTGCAATCTATCAAACCCTATTGGAAAATTATTGCGGTGGTGCAATCTATCAACCCTATATGGATAATTGACAACAATAGGCTTTCCACGCATTTAATAATTGCTTGTTAAAATTCACAGAATAGTAAGAGTTATGGAACGGGATTATTTTTATCTTACTTCTCTATGTCCCAAAAATATAATTCGTTTAAGGCTTTTTGATAATGATAAAAAAAAATCAAGTTCTCTAGATTTATAACAAAACTAAGGGTAAATTGACTAAATTATCCTTTATCTCATTAACTAATAGTTATTAGGTTGAAAGTATTTATTGCATCTAATTGTAAATAAGAGTAACATTTGAAAAAAATATTTATTTTATTACTTTTTAAAAACACTCAAAATGACTTATATTTTTTAGGATAAAATAATCACTTTTAAAAACGACTTATATTTTGATGAGAAAATAATTATTTTGTTCTAAAAATTTGACGAAATTAATTTTAAGGACGTAATATCCAATAAGCCTGGCATCTGTCAATATAAATTAGTTACCCATTTCCATTTTTGATGAGGTTTTCCTATTAAGTCATAAAGAAAGGACAAAAATTCCCCTGGACAATATGAATCTACATAGCCATCCTCTCCCGTTTCCTTTCCTGTATGGCCCCTCTCTTCTATCCCTTCAAAGCAAGCTAATTTCCAATATTCGGAATGAGATTCAAAACCAACAAAATCAAAAGGGAATTCGTTGAAAATTCAAAAGGAATATTTACTTTTTATTTGTTAAGGGAAAATACCTGAACATTAAGTTCTAGACCAGAAGGTCCAAAGCCATGGAAGGTTGACAGACAAAAGAAATTTTAATTTCCTTCTTCAAAAGAACGATTATCTATTGACTACTTTTGTGTTATTTCTTAAAATTCGAGGATTTTGTGGTTCCTCAGTTGAACTTCTATTTCATTGGTTATGGTTTTACACCCTTTATGTTTTTTTGGAGCCAAATGCATATTTTGAACCTATTACTTTTCAAAAAAAATCTTGTAAGTCCTTTATACTTTATGGGGACCCTATAAAGATACCTCTATTTATTTTTTTCCGTATTTAGTAGGTATCTCACCACGCTGAAACCGGTGCGTGGAGTATTCCACACAAGGTGTTTGAAGAAGAATTGAAAGCTTTGTTTAATTGCCATGGTTGTTGGACCTCTTTCCATTCTCCTCTTCAGTAACCAAACCCAAACTTTGATCGCCTTCAAAAGGAAAAAAGAAGGAAGAAATCACAAGGCACATCCAGGAGAATCAAAACTCAAATGCCACGTAAATGGAAAACAGAAGGCTTAGCAACAATTTTATCCAATAACTTCCTCCAAAAGCTTTGAGCTAAGTTCGTCTTAGTCTCTCTTCCCCTTCGCTTCCTCATCAAGGTTGGGGCCATTAGGAGAAGCCGCTGATAGAGCCCTTCACTATCCGCTAAGGGGAGAAATAAGGTGAAGTCAAAGCTATTTTGACTAGCCGAAATCAAGCTCAAGTTCAGGGAAGCAAACAAGAGGCAGAGAGTGGCAGCGGACTACTGTTTCAGCGGTTCCGGTACCAGAGCATCAGAGAAAGCTCCATAAAAAAAAAACAAGAACTGTATCGTAATACACAGTAAATTCCCAGATAGTGAGGAGTCACAAATGGTCTCACTAAACCAGCCAAGGGGACTTAAAAAAAAATCGGGCGGGACAAAACCAGAAGTAATATAATAATCACCAAAAATATTTTGCTTCAACAAATAGCTAATTTAAATAAATAAAGACAAAAGCAATTAAATAGAGAGACACCCCAAAACTTTAACGAGGTCGCCAATTTTGCCTACGTCCTCGGACACTACTAAATTTTATATTTCACTTAAAGACATATACAAATTGAGAGAGGAGAGGAAACTTGTCTAACCCACTAAGTATTGGAAGACAAGTTTGCGGATGTATAAAACTTAAGGAAGCTAGGCTCCTTTATAGCCAAACAACTCCCCACTCCTTCCCTTTTTTTCGCATGCTGGGATTTTGCAAAGCCACCTAACCACAATTTCTCCACCTTTGCCGAAAAATCCCACCAATGCCAAACTTTCTGCTCCTCTTCTTACAAAGTTGTAATTTCTTCAAATGTGCTTGGCTAGTGCCAAGCTTCAATTTTAAACAATATTAATCAAGTCCAAAAACAGTGTTTGGGAACTTGTGACAGCTGATCACCACTTTGGTCAACATATCAACAGGGATTTTCTCAGCAGTCTGAATCTTCTGGAGTTTGAATCTGTCCTTCCTCCAAGAATTTCTCTGAACAAAATGAAATCGAACGTCGAATATGCTTTGTCCTTGCATTGATAAACTTGGTTCTTTGCCAAGTGAATAGCTCTTTGACTATCGCCAATGTACCAACAATTGTTGTTTTGCCCAATTCCCAATTCATCAAGCAATCGTTTGAAGCCAAAATTGCCTCCTTAACAGCTTCTGTAACTGCCATATACTCTGCCTCTGTTGTAGACAAAAGCCACTGTTGACTATAAAGGCTAGGACTTCAACTAACTTGGTGCTTTGTAAGAAGTAAAACACATTAAACCAGTAGTTTGGATCGACGTTTATCTATTATCATCGGCATAATCAGGAATCACAGTATCCGACTTATGCGTTGACCACTATTCCTATCCCTGCTTCAAAAAAATTCAATCCAACATCCACGGGTTCAAAAGGATACCGGTAGAATCCATTTCACAGCTTGCCAATGATCCTTGCCAGGATCATGCATTTGTACCTTGCTCCACAACTCCAACTGCCTGTGACAATTATCTGGTCTTGTACACAAATAGCATACATCAAGCTACCCACAAACATTTGCATAGGGAACTTTAGACATGTATTCCCGTTCTGCCATCATTTTTGGTGACTGAGCTGCACTAAGTTGAAAATTGAGGAGGCAAGAGGGTTCTGTACTAACAGGTTTGGATTTGTCATCCATACCAAAACGCTTTAGTATCTTTTCAGATATTGCTTCTAAATTCAGGACAAAAGTCTCCCTTCAATTTCCTATCTCTGTTAATTTCCATTACCCGAGGAATCCTTTTTTAACTCTCGCCCATGATCTTTTTCATTTCAAAAAATTTCTTGATTTTAACTGATTCTTTCAAATTCTCAAATTCCTTATTGTTTTATTCTTTGGAAGCTATCAGCATATCCATCAAATACAAAAGAAGATAATGAAAGAAGCCATTCTTGTAGCCTTGGCGCAAATCTACTTAACAATGATCGTAATTTGCTTTTTGTGTACTTCTGCCTTTGCATAAACTTAATTAAATCGCGATTGTACCACTGCCTCGGAGATTGCTTCAAATCCATAAAGTGATTTTCCAAGTTTGCATACCATATTTTTCCTTTCCAACAACCTTGAATCCTTTTGGTCGAGTCATATAGATTTCCCACCAATCTCTAT